AATGGAGAGTCAGGACTCAGAGAGACACGAGGAGAGTTGGAGTTTTGATGTCAAACGCTGGTAGTTTATTTAGAGAGAATACGGCCGGAGAGATAGCTAAGCTTCCCATTTAAGAAGAAACCTCGCCAGCTCTGACACAAAGAAGCGGCACACTGCAAGATACATGGAAAGGGAGGGACCTTACAAAAGCGCGGGCTTTTCGGACCTATCATGCAAAATGCACCTTTGGACGTCTTTTATACATGAATATGTGTCCCCGGTGTTCCAGGGAACTCACCAAGTGTCAGAAAACACAACCCTCTCTATTTTCCTCCTTCGCCAAATCTCTAAAAAAGTGGCTGAAACGGATCTGAAAAAAACGGATCCAGATTTCAACACTTTCCTACGTCACAAAGAGACGTGCTCCGCTTATTGGTCAACTCTCCACCTATCAGGGGAATGAGCCACGGCCACGTGCATTGCCGGGATCAATACCAACCATCCGGGAGCAGGCCAGTGAGGACACATCCAATTTTGAAGCTGTAAGTTTTTATTTAGCGGTGTTTTTCCTGATAAAGCTATCTCTAGCTTGTAGTATGTAGCATGTAGCATGTAGCTTCGCCGTATCAATGTCGCCTCAAACCCAAATAGTAATCGGTTAGGTGTTTATATGTTTTTATAACATTTTATATTGTACGCTCCGCAGTCTTTGCTTTGTCTTTTATTTTAATTATCAGGCATTTGCTAACATGTTCAGACATACTGCCGTAATGGCGATCTGTGTGAAGGCTGTAAAGCCACGCCCTAGCCGATAACACAAGTATTTATTCTCCTATTTATTAGTATTTTGTATCCTCTAAAATCATATTGAGTAAGTTATAATAACAAACGTAATCTTCTGTAGGTAAGTGCCGTTTTTTCCAGCGTTATATGTAAAAGCTTTTGTGATTGTAGTCTGTAAGAACGATCAGATATCATCGATCTGTAAGCTACGCTACGCTAATGAGACATGCCGTTTTTTGCAGCGTTATATGTAAAAGCTTTTGTGTGTTTACTTGTTTGCGCACATGAATATAAATGGGGGTGTGTGAGGATACAACACTGTGTATGTATGCGAGGGGGGACACACACCACGAGTAAAACGGAGCTAAAGCCCCGTTGGTATGTTGTTGACAAGGCCTTACCTAGCAACAGGCTAATTAGTGGCTAGCACTCATTACAGTCAGTCTACTGAGCTCAGCCCCTCTCCAACACATCATCTGTATTGAGTCAGAAACACAGCATGCACGTTACGGTTCAAAACTAACTCAGATTGGAAAAGGCTAAGCAAAGAGCTTTGCTAAATAGAGAGTTTTAAGCCCCATCTTTTGGGATTTCAGACTATATTTATCCAAATAGTATTTTCTCATCCTGAATACTAAATTGAGATGATTTTGTTCTAACTATGTTTTCTTCTTTACAGGCCAGCACCTCACATACTTACTAATTAGTGACAATTTGTACATCCTTTGCTATTATTTACATTTTTTTTTATCATGGCGGAAATGAAAGACTGTACCTGGCAGCCCTGCACTACAATGAAAACGCTGAGCGTGCACAAGCCAACATCCACTGGAAACCCTCTGTATAAACTGCAGTTCCCAAAGGCCAGGAAGGGAGAATGCAGAGCAAAACCAGTAAAGACTGACCCCACATTCCGTAAGTGTTTAAAATATTTATTATACAACTATTTACAAATATAAAATTAGAAAGAACTTTCAGTTTTTTACATGCATATACTAATCTAAACCACATTTTTTGTTGTGCTTTTTTTTTAACATTGCACAGGCTACGTGGCCAACTTGATGGACCTCATCTTCGACCAAGTCTTTGTGGACCCTGCACCATTATGAGCGACCTGACAGGGACGAGGTCATCGCCGGGTATGCTACACGGTTCAATTTGGCTGCTGTCTGAACCCAACATCGACATTTTGCGGATCAGGAAACTCCTGCCTCCTTGAGGACAACGCAGGCCGGAATCACCACTCTGATCCTGCGTCCAAGGAAGCCCCAGCACCAGCTCACAAAGCTTCTGTAGGCTAGATACCTGTGACGCCTGAAATCATTAAAAAAAATATTTAGTGTAATTTATACAAAATACAAGTACATTTCGTTTTTTTTGTATGGGTTCAAAGAACCGTTGATTTTGACAATAAAGTTCCGAGTTGATATCAAATGTGTCGTGATTATTCATGTTTGGATGGGTAAAGAATATTCTGATTTCAAAAGCATAAGGTTGTGTGTGGACTTTTTTTGTCGTACACATGGGTGTGTTATGCCATTGCTGTGTAATAATATATATATATATGTGTAATAATATATATATATATATAATAGTACATGTACAATGAAAGATTGCATAAAGCCATATACACCAGTATTTATTTCCATGAACAATATTAGCATTCGTTTTACAATTTCAGTCAAAAGAAACAAACCACTCACTGCTCTATTTGCCTCAACTGTAGTCCACCATGTTCAGCTCTGTAAATATTCAATGCATTCTGCAGGGAGAACACATTCAGGCACACAGGCTCCAATCCAGGATGGTCCACCATACAGGTTACAGAGTCCTCAAGTTCCTGCATCCGTCTTGACACCTAGTGTGATAAACATATTGAATGACATGTTAAAAATGCATTCTCTAAACAGACAACTTAGTGAAGCTATCAAAAATGTTACCTGTGGTATCGCCATGCAGCACACATTCTCCGGTTCAGAAGGCATCGTGGCGCAATTTGCACATGTACACCTGTAGAAAGAAGTCAATAACTGAGCTTTTAAAAACACATGAAACTACACACACTGCTGACAACTGAGGTGTTGTTGGAGTTATACTTTTTATCACCCTAAGTTATTGAACTTTCCAACGGTTGTTGCACGATGTTGGAAGAAAAGGGCTGTAAACTATTAATAAACGCAATGAGGCCATTGTATATATGCTGAAAATATGAATGTCTCCCTTTATAAATATATATATGTATCGCTGTTTTTGCGTTACAAGCTCTAAGTTATAAACTGTACACATAGCATTCTTGCTAATTAGCCAAAATATGAACGGAATAAGTAGCAATCATCGTAACGGAGTAAAATAAATAGGAACAACAGCTTGTCAACTAACCATTCAGAAACGTCCTGCTGCAACCGAGATCTTTGCACCTCCACCAAAACCTCCGCTGCTTCAGGGTCAGTCTCTGGATCAAATTGATAATACGCTTGAACACATGCATTGCTCTGAGATGACATGTTTATTCCACACTCGTAATCACAGCAAGCATGTTAACGTGACTCTCACCGGCTCATGCCCCGCTCTTCTGCAGGGGGGCGTGGTCAGCTGCTGCTCAGAATTTTCAAAGACAGGCTTGGAAAAGAGCGAAAATGAGCGAAACGAGGCATGGCTAAAAAATAATCTGTTTGGTATTTTGAAAAATAAAATGTATAAATATACCTTATATAGGTATGGTCATACACTATATCATTTAAATATAGCATGATAGGTCTCCTTTAAGTTCTGGTTTTTCTGTCTGTCTTTGTCGGTTCGTCTTTTGTCATGACTAGTTCGTCGGTGAGTGTTCTGTTTTGTCTTTGTTGTTCACCTAGCCTTGAAATAAAGGAATTTGCACTTTAATCTGCATTTGGGTCCTACCTGCTTCACACACCGTGACAAATCTGTTGAGAGTCAAGATGTCAACTAAAGATTACATTAAGCATTAGTTGATGATCAACAGATAAGCAACTTTAGAGTTTAGTTGACTATCTGTTGATCGTCAACTAATCTAGAGTTGACTTATCAGTATACATTACAGTAGGCATTCTCCACTAAGCGTTTGTAGGCATGTGTTAGGACTATCCAATTAAAGTGAAAAACAGTTGAGAACAGTAGAAAGTCTATAACCTATCAACAGAACACATACATTCATCCACTAATTATATGCAACAGACATGGGAATAAAGTGAAATGTTTTGCAAAACTGATCACAAACTTTATGTATTCATTATGTATGTAATGTTTGAGTTAGAAACACCTGTTCCTGTTTTATTTGACTAATATATAAGATAAATACAGAAGCCTAATGCATTCACTTGAGAAAAAAAGGTTTTTCACAAGAACTCACAATCTACAGATAGTAAGGTTGAATATCGGTTAATAACCTGTTGCAAAAAACATGTTGACAGTCAACAGACACTTTTTGTAAAAATCTATATGTAGATCAACAATTGAGATGTACCTTATATTCTACTGGCAGTTAGTTAAATGCATGTTACTTGTCTGTTGAAACAGTGTTGTTGAATGTCAACTGATGACTTGTAGAGTGTTAACTATGGACTATCAAAATAAAGTGTTACCAAACAGGATTGTCCCCATTTTTTCTTTAATAGTTACTAACATTAGATATTTTAATGATATGGACCGCAAAACAAAAAATGTGCCTGAATAACGAATTTAGCAGTTGGACATAAAAGTCAACTGAGTGTCACAGTGTTGTGTTTTTATTTTATGAACCTTTTACATTAAAAACAAGTTAGAATTTTCAAAAGGTATTTTTTTCGGGGGGGGAGGCCCTTTTTCCAGTTTAGAGCAAAAGCCCCTCCAAATGTCTGTGCACGTGGGGGACACATATTTATGTGTAAAAAACATTGAAAAGTGCATTTTGCATGATAGGAGACCTTTAAGTCTTGCTCTTGACTTGGTCTCGACCTCTTAAAGTCTTTTTCTCACTGTTTGGTTTGGTATTCAACAGTTATCAAGATGTAAAACTTATATTATCGGGGTCATCAGAAAGAATAACCTAAGTCCATCATTATATGGAACAATGATACATTTTTCTGAACGTAATCCATATGTTTATGATGTTGGTAATATTCATGTTTTCTTATTTTATTTTACTTTGTATATATACCCCTAATGAAGACAGTTTTGTGTACATAAAAACGTCATTAATAAACAACTGTACCACACAGTACCGCTGGAGGCCGCTACACCGTGAAGTCTGGAGAAGAAGAATAAGCGCCGCCCACTGTGCTGTGCTGGCACTCCCCACTTCCCGTAAACCGGATGTAGTATTCCACGTGTCTTTGGGATTTACAGATAACAGGTAAGAGTGTTTAATTAGAAGTAAATATATGGATGTATACATCCATATATTTACTTTTATAACACCAGCACAGTCGGTCTATATTAAGAAGCTAACTATTGCTTCTTAATATCGACACACTGCTGGTGTCTGTATGTTTGGAACGCTGCTTTTTTCAGAAGTGAGAAATTAGCAAGTTAGCTCAACATGCTAACATGTGTTTAATCGAAACATAAGAGATAATGAGTTTTATAATAGCCTGAATATAAAATAAAGTAGGTGTGCCTGTAGAGAAGGGTCTGTCTGCAGTCCTCACACTGGATTACTGTCTGAAATACCAGTTAAAGGGATCATTGCTGGATATGAAATCCATATAATGCTCAACTTTCTGCACTTTAACACATGTGTTAATGTCAACACCGTAGTTTTACATTTGAAATATAATCACTGTAGTTTACAATATATTGTTCAAAATTCACTGTCCTAATGGTTTAGTGTTAGCTTCTGTTGTATATTTAAATCTTTTTAATGCTAAATAGTTTCTTAAAAATACTTGTTATCATCTTTGATTGTCTATTACAACTTATTTTCTTATGTTGTTCATGTCTGCACCACTACACACCACAGCTGATTCCTTGTGTGTGTAAACCTGACAATAACCCTGATTTAAACCTAACCTCATTACAATCAAAATAACTTATTTAACTAACTATTTATTTATACTTTAAAATAAAACCATAACAGGTCCAGTTTTGAGAGTCTGGAAACAGCACTTTGCATTAAAATGACTTTAATATTAACCCATTATAAAAACATTAATTTAGTAGGGTTTTAGACACATTTTTGAAGTCATAACCGAGGCTCACACACATTTTAGTATATCAAAAATACATAATAGCTTAATAAAGTCACAATAAAGCTGCTATTAGTACATACAGTATTTTGTAATATGCATTTTATTTTTACATGTTTACATTAAAAAGTACTTGGATAATTAAAATAAATAGACATATTTTCATTGCAGCTCTGAAACAGTGTTTAATTGCTGAATCAGAATTCCTTTATTACAGTTTCACAGCATGTATGGTGTTGTTAGTGATAGTTGCACCATGCAGTTGCAGAAGAAAGTGTGTGTTTTGCAGGTTTATTGCAGATGTATGTAAACTCAATCTCAATGAGTGTGTCAATGTCTCTGCAGATAAACTATGACGTCGTTGGCACAGCAGCTGAAGCGTCTGGCAGTGACTCAGACGCCTAAGGAAGTCGTCTCGCTTCTTTTTGACCCAAAATATGCCGCCTCCATGGACCGCAGCACCTTTTACGCCCTGGGTGAGTCCCAACACCGGCACAAAATAACCCCTTCCCTCAGACACCTGCAGGATATTAACTAGGGGTACGATATACTTAAGCCACGATACAATAGAATTGCGATTCTACGATATGCTAAGTATTGCGATACAATATATTGATTGATATCTGTTGGAGCTATATATTGCTCTATATTATTTAATAGTTAAACATTACATTTCTTGCTATAGAAAAGAAAAGTTTGCCCAACCCTGATCTAGTGGATTGAAAAAGCAATTGTTGCCAAAAACTTTCATTTGGATTTGCAATATGAATAGTTTATATAATAAAATAAAACAATATCGCCACGCCAAGTATCGCGATAATATGCTGTATCGATTATTCAATTAAAAGGTGTCATATGCATATAAGCTACAGAGTAGAAATGGCAATGAAATTCTTCTGACCTGAGCTCCTCCAACAACACAACATACTGTGTGTGTGTGTGTGTGTGTATATATATAAAAATAATAAAATACAAATAAAAAGTGCAAGAAGTCTATATGCATGTAAATGGAATATGATATGTACAAGAACAGAATGTGAAATTAAATAATGTACATTTAAAGTTCATTTCCCCCACCCCTAATATTAACCCCGTTCGCCATCGTTCCCAGGCTGCACGGGGCTGGAGGTGCTGCTGGGAATCGAACCGGCCTTCCAGGAGTTCAAGAACAGTCTGTTCAGCCGTGCCTCGCTGACGCTTGAGCGCAGTGTCCAGAGCAAAGAGGTCAACGAGAAGCTGGACGCCACCATCGCCCTGTTCCTCGCCCGGCTCTGCCCCTACTTCCTGCTGAAGCCGGCGCACAAGTGCATCGAGTGGCTCCTCCACCGGTAGATAAAAACTATTATTCATATTTATCTTCCATAACATCAGCGTCCACAGTAAGGAGACGTAAGGAATTTCACTAGCTGTGTCTCACTGTGTCTTCTCCTATTAGCATTAGCACTTTTTCCTGTAAATATGTCTACTTCTTCCTGACATTATAAAGACTTTACTTGTTTTTTTCCGACCTTTTTAACACAATTTTACACATGTTTACTGCTTTATCAGTGTTAGAATAATATCATTTGTCACCGGCTTGAGTTTCAATATACATGTATTTATTATCCTTGCAAGATTGGAAGTAGTTATCACATACAGAGCATTTGGTACAACTAGTTCCTGAACAGTGTCCTTCACATGCTGATATACAAGAGAGGGAGTTAAACAGTCACAAGATGGAGGAATAGAAAGCAGTATTCAATGTTTACTTCAGATTAGCTCCACGTCAGAAATGAGCATGCTTGTCATATGTCTATCTCCATAGAGGCTGAATCATCATGTTAATCACATAGCTATCATATGCCTCAAACAGTGTGTCCTGACGCTCTTCCAGGTAATCATACATCCTGTCATGTACTCAGCTACAGTTGGCTTTGTTATCATGTGCTACTCTGATATTGGAAGAGTACATTCAGTATTTTCCCAACAATCGGTCTACAGTATTCACTGGTACATGTCCAATATGTATGTAATGTAAAGCGCTCTATTAAAAAATGAAGATAATTATTAAATATTATTATTTAACGATGTTTTATATCAGTTAATTACCCCTCCCCCAGGTTCCACATCCAGCGCTATAACGCTGACAGTCTGTTGGGCTGTGCTCTGCCGTATCACAACACCAAGGTGTTCGTCAGAGTGCTGCAGCTGCTCCACTTGCGGGAGAAAACAAACTGGAGCTGGCTGCACCCCGTGCAGGTAAACACACACCACCTCCAGAGCGTGGTGCAGTCAAAGAGTCAAGATGTATTGAAGACAGGGTTTTGGGGTCCGAGGGGACACATAATGATGTCACTGTTGCGGAAGTAAACAAAGGAGTAGCCCTGATGTGGTGTGTGTATATGTACATATATATATTAATGTGTGTATATATTTATTTATATATATATATATTTATTTATTTTTATATTTTTATATATTTATTTGTTTGTTGTGGACAGAAAGCCGGCGTCCCTCTCTCCAGAGAAGCTCTGGTTTCTCACTGCTGCTCCGACCTCAGCTTCATGGACTTCATCTGCAGCCTCGTCACCAAATCCATACAGGTAAACAAATCCATAAATAACAACAACAATAAAGTAGAAGGCTTCAGGCGCTCTGCTTCAGGGTAAAAGTACATAATACAGTATCAAAGTAGAAGTACTTAAGACTCTTCGTCACTTGATTTTATATACCGTGAAGAACTTTTGTTTGTATAATTGAGATGTCGGTGATATTTTGAGAAAATATTCGGAATCTCTGATTTAAAGTCGTTCATTTCTCAAAATAACATTTAGAGTTAACCAGTAACACCTTTAAATCCTCACTTAAATCTTGAAGAATACTCAGGTATAAATAAATAAATAAACATATTTTATGAATGCTAAATCTTATTCTCCACTTCTTCTTCCTCCCCCTCTTCCTCTTCTTTTTCCTCCGCTTCCTCCTCCTTCTCCTCTTCTTTCTCCTCAGGCGTACTCCGGTGCAACAGAAAGTAGTTCCAAACTCCGGGTGGTGTTCACGTTCTACGCCTCCGTCATCGTTTCCTCTCTAGATTCTGCAAAGAGGATCTCTGACGCTAACATCTCCAAGCTGCTGCCCTTTATCCACCAGGTGAGAGGTGGAGGAGTTGCCTACCTGTCTTCAGGGGACACACTCACTTTTTTCCCATAATTGTACTTTTTTTCAAAATGTTTGACTTTGTTCTCATATTTCTGAGAATTTGACATTTCTTTCATAATTTTAACTTTTCTCAATATTTGATTCTTTTCTCAGATGTTGACTTTTTTCTGATTTGAATTTTTTTCTCAGATTTAGATATTTTTTCTCACAATAATTTTTTCTCTCTCAGAATTTGACTATTTTTTTTATATTTGTATCCCCAGGGTCTGTCCTCTCCCCTCCCTGATTTCACGGCGGCCTCCTACATGTTGGTGTGTCAGCTGGCAGTAAAGCAGGTCCTGAAGCAGCGCCTGGTCGAGGCTCTGTCCTTGTCCGTCTGCAGGTCTCTGATCCAGGATCAGCGGCTCCTGAAGGAGGGTCTGGGCTGCCTCACTGTGCTGATGCAGAGCCAGGGGGAGGGCCCTGGCAACAAGTAGGTCTTAAGATACCCTGAGACACCTGTTCAGGTACCCTGTGTTTGTGTGTCCTTACAGTTGTGTGTTTGTGTTCAGAGCGCTGAGAGTCTTGGTCTCGGTGCCGTTGCTGGTCTCCTCTCTGCAGGAGATGTCTGTCTCTCACGACGTCAGCCCCCTGCTGAAACACCTGCTGCCTCACCTGCTGCACCAGCTGTTCACCTGTAAACCAGGTCAGAGAGGTGTGTGTGTGTGTGTGTGTGTGTGTGTGTGTGTGTGTGTGTGTGTGTGTGTGTGTGTGTGTGTGTGTGTGTGTGTGTGTGTGTGTGTGTGTGTGTGTGTGTGTGTGTGTGTGTGTGTGTGTGTGTGTGTGTGTGTGTGTGTGTGTGTGTGTGTGTGTGTGTGTGTGTGTGTGTGTGTGTGTGTGTGTGTGTGTGTGTGTGTGTGTGTGTGTGTGTGTGTGTGTGTGTGTGTGTGTGTTATTTTTACTTAATTGACAGTGCGGTATAATGAGACAATAACAGGATGCGGACACACACACACACATATATATTTCAGAATCAGACACGTATAGGGATGGGTATCGTCTGAAATGTATCGATTCTTTTTATCAATTCCCTGTTTCGATTCCAAAATTGTAAAAGAAAGAGGTCAAATGTTGAAATAAAAACAATATCTTTATTCTTTTAAGCTTTAACTGACATTTTTACAAATAAAAAAAATACATGCAATATGAATGTATTACACAATAGCTGTGCTTTATTTTAACTGAGGTAGCAGCAGGAAACCTACTGATTAAAAGTAAGCATATAACACCAAACTAACTGAGACCCGTCTGTCTGCCGCATCTACACACACACACACACACACACACTGTACCACACGCACCTACACACTGTAGCCTACCACACACGCGCCTACAGCTCCTAAAGCATATAATATATATCAGGACACAGCCGTTGTAAAAAAAAATCGTAATTAGATTCTTTCCCAAAATCGTGCAGTCCTACCTTCAACATGGCGCGCTGAAATCCATTTCCGGGTCACTACCGGAGGGTCGAGGAGGGGAAATTAGAGAAATGAGAAACCTTCCGTGTGTGTGTCTCAGTGTGTTAACTTGTGTCTGTTTGTTTACCTGCGTTTTTACACTGAACAAAAATATAAATGCAACACTTTTGTTTTTGCTCCCATTTTTCATGAGATGAACTCAAAGATCTAAAACATTTTCTATATACACAAAATAACCATTTCTCTCAAATATTGTTCACAAATCTGAAAAAATCTGTGATAGTGAGCACTTCTCCTTTGCCGAGATAATCCATCCCACCTCACAGGTGTGGTATATCAAGATGCTGATTAGACAGCATGATTATTGCACAGGTGTGCCTTAGGCTGGCCACAATAAAAGGCCACTCTGAAATGTTCAGTTTTATCACACAGCACAATGCCACAGATGTCGCAAGTTTTGAGAGAGCGTGCAATTGGCATGCTGACAGCAGGAATGTCCACCAGAGCTTTTGCCCCTGAATTGAATGTTCATTTCTCGACCATAAGCCGTCTCCAAAGAATTTGGCAGTACATCCAACCGGCCTCACAAACGCAGACCACGTGTAACCACAACAGCCCAGGACCTCCACATCCAGCATGTTCACCTCCAAGATCGTCTGAGACCAGCCACTCGGACAGCTGCTGCAACAATCAGTTTGCATAACCAAAGAATTTCTGCACAAACTGTCAGAAACCGTCTCAGGGAAGCTCATCTGCATGCTCGTCGTCCTCATCAGGGTCTCGACCTGACTCCGGTTTGTCGTCGTAACCGATTTGAGTGGGCAAATGCTCACATTCGATGGCGTCTGGCACGTTGGAGAGGTGTTCTCTTCACGGATGAATCCCGGTTTTCACTGTTCAGGGCAGATGGCAGACAGCGTGTGTGGCGTTGTGTGGGTGAGCGGTCTTCTGATGTCAATGTTGTGAATCGAGTGGCCCATGGTGGTGGTGGGGTTATGGTATGGGCAGGCGTATGTTATGGACGACGAACACAGGTGCATTTTATTGATGGCATTGTGAATGCACAGAGATACCGTGACGAGATCCTGAGGCCCATTGTTGTGCCATTCATCCACGACCATCACCTCATGTTGCAGCATGATAATGCACGGCCCCATGTTGCAAGGATCTGTACACAATTCCTGGAGGCTGAAAACATCCCAGTTCTTGCATGGCCAGCATACTCACCGGACATGTCACCCATTGAGCATGTTTGGGATGCTCTGGATCGGCGTATACGACAGCGTGTTCCAGTTCCTGCCAATATCCAGCAACTTCGCACAGCCATTGAAGAGGAGTGGACCAACATTCCACAGGCCACAATCAACAACCTGATCAACTCTATGCGAAGGAGATGTGTTGCACTGCGTGAGGCAAATGGTGGTCACACCAGACACTGACTGGTTTTCGGACCCCCCCCAGACCCCCCCAATAAAGCAAAACTGCACGTTTCAGAGTGGCCTTTTATTGTGGCCAGCCTAAGGCACACCTGTGCAATAATCATGCTGTCTAATCAGCATCTTGATATGCCACACCTGTGAGGTGGGATGGATTATCTCGGCAAAGGAGAAGTGCTCACTATCACAGATTTTTTCAGATTTGTGAACAATATTTGAGAGAAATGGTTATTTTGTGTATATAGAAAATGTTTTAGATCTTTGAGTTCATCTCATGAAAAATGGGAGCAAAAACAAAAGTGTTGCATTTATATTTTTGTTCAGTCTGTTTGTTCAGTCTTTTGTTTGTCTCTCAGGTGAGTCTCTCTGTCTCCCTGTCTCTCGGTGTGTTTATCTGTGTGCGTTTATCTGTGTGTGTCTCTCAGTGCATTTACCTGTGTTGACCTGTGTCTCTCTGTGTGTTTACATGTGTGTTTACCTGTGTCTCTCAGGTGAGTCTCAGGCAGAGCTCTCTGTGTTGGAGAATATTCTACAGAACCTCCCTCTGATCAACGGCCTGGACCAAACCGTGGCTCGGTAAACTCCATATAAAACCACCTGAATAAACTCTGAGATAAACCACACATCACATCCCAGTAAGACCAGTACCAACACAAGTGATGTGTTTCCGTCTCCTGCAGGCTGCTGCTGGAAGAGTACCTGAGTCAGAGAGACGTCTCTGCAGAGACTCTGTCCTCCATGGACCTGACGCTGCAGCCTCTGATCCGCCTGTTAGAGTCCCGGTCAGTCTGCACCTTTATTATTTTACTGGTGGAGCTTTGAACAGGTAGAAGGTTTGTCCAGTGTTTCCTCATCAGTGGAGGCACAAACAGAAGTCGTCCTGCTGTGGATTTACCTAATTAGTGCGAATGCTGCGAATGCTGTTCCACAGCATTCACTATTGTTCTTCAAATCTTTATTCTTCAGTTCTTACGTACGTTTTTTTGGCGTCCAATAACTTCCGCATACTTTCAGCTACAGAAACCATTCAAATATCAAAATATTCAGCCTTTTCAGCACATGATAGGACACTTGAAATGATTTGTATACTTTTTAAACCATTTGTTTTAACATGTAACTCAATGGGAGGAACCTTAAAATCCTCGTTTAGCTTCACCGTGTTTAAAATGCTACTCAACATACTTTCAGCTAGAGACTTCATTGCAACTTTTAAACGGTCACAAGACGTTCAGCTATTAAACTTGTATTCAGATTTTTGATATATTTTACAGTTTCTGATTTATCACAGTTTAAGTTTTGGTACATTTTTAGGCCGTTTTCGATTTTATAATGGTTGTCTATGGGAAGGACTCTTCAGGACTAGAGTGCTTGACGTCATCACTTAGAGCAGGGGCAGCGATATGCGCATGCACGATAATCACATCGCAGGACGTGCGATTTTTTTTAATGATTTGTACTACTTCTAGTACTATTAACACCACTACTACTCATACAGCTACTACAACTGCTACTTCTACTTGTACTTACAGTTAACTACTACGTACATTTGATATCTAACTCCTTCAGCCTACTTTCAGCTAGACAAACCATTCAACTATTCATCTATTTATGTTTTTATGTTTCATGTGGAACTACTTGAGCAGGTCTCCCTTGAAAATAAAAATGTATCTGTCTAAATAAAGGTTTGAAATGAAATGAAACCATTAAATAATTCAGCTATTTCAGGACATTGAGGCTAAACATTTAGTTATTTATACCTTTTAAACTTTTCTTTTAAATATTAAGCTTCATCGCTATTTTTCCTACTCTGGCAGTTTTACAATTCACTTTCAAGATTTCCAACAGTGCCGTTTGAGCTTCAACAATTTTAATTCAAGTAATTTCACTTTTCTGCATCTTTCCACTAAGTTCAGCAAGATACTTACTAGGCTTTGTAGCTAAAAGCAGCGACAGTCACCATTCAGCAATTGACATTTTCAGCAACAAATTTGCGCAGTTTACAGCATTCACACGCCTTTTCAGCAGGACATTTATTTTCTAGTTGGGAGTAGCACCAGACCTTTAAACCTTAAAATATTTCCACTTTTTTATTGTAATATTCCAACTTTAATAATGCTATTTTTCTTCAATATATTTCTAGTTTTTTTCTTAATTGTTCAGAATGGTGAAATATAAAAAAAAAAAAAAATCCTTTTTATCTTGTTATATTTCAACTCTTCTAACATATTCACAATAGTTTTCCTTTAAAGGAATGGTATGCTCATGACACTCATTTTTAAATAATTATCATCCGATAAAACAGACCAGTCTCTGCCAGTCTTTTTTTTTTTTTTTTTTTTTTAAATCCGATGACATTATCAGTGATTTTAAACTGATTAATTACCGAAATAACATCAACACTGTGGGCGGCGCCATTTTACCGGACGTGACGTAAACCATGCGTTTGGTTTCGAGGACACGTTGATGTTCATGTTATTTACTGTAGTTACTCTCTTCAAATATGCCTCATTGTATCGCGAAACATTGCCACAATTCTGATAGGAACAATCCACGGAATGCTCGGTTCCATCTGTTGCCAAAAGGGAAGCGTAGGAAGTACGTTCGGAGGCAGTGGCTAGTGAAATGTGGCCGGCCCGAACCGAAAGATCCACAGGCGCATGTATGCAGCGAACATTTCAAGTTTCCGGACGACTACTCTGAGAGTATGATAAAACATAACATGGGATTTATTGAACAACCATTACTTAATGGAGATGCAGTACCATCGGTCTTTCTGGTGTCATCACCGACCAGGACACCAGTTCGGCCAGTTGAGAAATCGCCCTCTGCAAGTGTGAAGCGACGGAGGACCAGAAGTAGTGCTCGTAGTAAGAATAAGGTATGTTATAGCGCATTTCCATTGCAGCGGGTAGCCCCGTTTAAACGTCCTTTATCGTCCAGGCCAGGCCAGTTTTTGGTGGCCTTTCCATATAGCGTAGTACCGGCTAGTGGGTATTTTCCCCCAGTTTTTCCGGCCCCATAAAATCGTGGTTCTAGGTACACCATTCATGTACAGGTCTTCCTACTCGCCTCCCGAAATCAATTGCACGAGTAAAGGGATCGTCTCCAGCAAGATCACCGTGCTGTTCATCCTCATCGTCACTGTCCCTGGATTCCTGACGGTTCTGACTACTTGGCTCGAACCTGTATGGCTGAATTCCCCCATCCAATCTCTTCATATTGCTCAAAATTTCTTCCTCGGCTGACGAGTCCGAACTCAAATACTCCGCCATGTTTTCGTGTGTTTACAAAGTGAACGCATGGATGACGTCACGACCATCACGTGACTACTGAAAATGGCCAAAATGGCAGCGTCCTGACGGAATATACAGGTTTTGATAAAAAAGAGCTATAAAATCATTATTTACCGGGGAATATCGCTGATTTCTTCAGGGTATGGTTTAAACATAATGTTTCACTAAATACTGAAGTTTTGATTAATTATCTAATGAGTGGAGCAATTCCTTTAACATATATAATTTAAAACTCTGCAAAATATTCCTCCGTTTACACTGTCAAATATTCAGACTTTCATTTCAAAACATGCCTTTATTTTGTAATTTTCTCTAAATATTTGTCTATAACTCCCACCATATCCCCCCCCCCCCCCCCCCCCCCCAGGTTCTGTGTGGCTCTGGACGGCATCCTGGCAGGTCATGTGACCAGCGTCGACGGCAGTGATCAGAAACGTCTCTTCCACCGCTTCCTGTCTCTGTCCATGAGCGGCGGGAAGTACCAGGTAACCCTGAAGTATTAATACTTCACTGTGTATTATTTAGTAGTTTCACTTAAGATATAATAATAAATAATATCTAAAGTAGTCCTGCAGAAAGAGGGATAATGAACAGTCGTCATTCCTCACTGTGTAGTAATTATTAATGTCACCTCTCTTATAATAATAATAATAATAAATAATATCTAAAGTAGTCCTGCTGAAAGAGGTATAATCAACAGTAGTCGTTCCTCACTGTGTAGTAGGGGTGGGGGAAATAATTGATACAGCATAGTATTGCGATACTTTGAGTGGCGATATTGTATTGATACACGGATGCCAAGTATCGATATTTTATTATATAAATTGTAGCATATCCCTCCGAAAGATGGTCGTACACTTGACTGATGATTTCAAATGTATTGAAAACTCAAAAAAACAAAGTAAGAGCTACACAAAGAGACAAAACAACAAATACATTTAAGCTACATCCATATAAGCATTACTTTAGAATACGATTAAACAAGTGAACTTCAAATAGTTAGCAAAATTATAATACAGTATATAAACGAATTAAGACAAAAACCACATGTTTATATTACAGTTGACACTAATCTTGTGCCTCTTCGGGGGTGCTAACACTTAAATGTAAACTTTATCTTTTGATATCGCTGTATTTAAATGTTGATATCTCCGTTGATATCTGTACTTTATCTCTGTTCTTTTTCTCCTTCCAAGTTTTTGCTTTGGGAACAGTAACTTCCTGCTAATAGTGCAAAGTCGCCTTCAAAATAAAAGCATGTCTATATAAAACAGGAAGTTACGTTAAGACTAGGGATGGTAATTTGAAAGCAAATGTATATTCGAATATTCGACCCCCAAAAAAACAGTTAACTGAAATGCCCATATCCTATAAAAAAAAAATAGGGAACATCTTTTTCAAAAAATAAAGAAACATTTTTTAATTTTGAAAAATAAATAAATACATGTTCAAATACGTAGAGAAACCAAGTCGAATTTGTCAAATGTATTGAACTGGTGATCACAGTTTGAACAGTTGACAGCTATAGGCCTACAGCTTTCATGTTTAAAACATAACTTGTTTTTTAAATTAAAGAGGGATCATACACGAACAACATAACAGGTTAGGGTAACGCAACCCTATTACAACAGAGATCAACAACCTATAACAGGCCCTATTCACAGAATGCAGCTATTCAATACTCATTCTTGTTTAAGAATAAGAGCATGTCTACATGCTCAGGGGAGAGGCGGGTGCGGAGGCTATTCACAATCAGGCCAGCTGTAGAGAAGACAGCTGGAATTTGGGCATAAGATGAGGTTTGAGTCTGCGTGATCTGCGTGTAGGGAGGGGCAGCAGCCATATCATTAGCTAGAGCTAGCTAGATCTGATGGATTTGGACATAAACGCGAGTGAAGTATAACCGGACGCGAGAGAGAGAGAGATCCGCACCTGCAGCTCTGCCCGCTGTGAGGGACCGGTGAGCGGAGCAAAACACACACTTTAGACCTAACACATTTAGCTATGGCACTGTCATATACATTGAATTATTCCATTTGATAATATGTAATCAACTTAGGCACCCCTCCAAAAAAATATATTCATAACTCATATTCGAATACCTGAATCATTTCGAATATTCGATGAATCGTTCCCATCCCTAGTTAAGACATGTATACAATTGCAATAAAAGTAACAAAAACAATGCCATCTCCTTTTCAGGTTCTAAGAACACACAATGGGTTATTTACATAAACTATTCAAGTTGCAAATCAATTTTGTAACCAGGAAGGGAAGAGGGACATGATAGGACCCATGTGATTTGCAATATCGCAATATATTAGGGATGTAACAATACCAAAAACTCACGGTACGATAATATCGCGATAACAAGTCCACGGTACGGTATTTATCGCGATATTGAATAATAAAGGGAAAATAAAAACTCTCGCTTGGTACTGGGACAGCAGTGGTCGCGTTAACCGAATATTTTATTTAACAATGACGGAAAAATCTGAAAGCAGTCTGTCATTTTGACAGATTAGAACAAACTCGGAACAGCGCCAACGTTTCCCCGCAGCGAGGCTCTGGTGTTATGCCGTGTTATGCATGCCCTCCAAAAGGAAATGATATAGTTTCCAAACCGTACTTTGCCGTACAGATCAATACATGTCTGGGAGGTTTTGCTTTACGCTGTGCGTGCTCCCGCGAGGTGCATACACACACGGCATAACACCGCCCCCCCCGTTGACAGTTCACGAGCGTGCTCTCTTGTGAACTGTTCAGACCCGACGGGTAATAAGGGATTATGACGAAATTTTACGATCCTGTCTGTCAAAATGACTGACAGCGAAAAAGCTGCCATGGGTGACAGCAGTGGGTCAAACTGTGCATTGTCTCTCCACCACTTAAAAAACAATACAATTTTTGCCAAGAAGGTGAGGCTTATTGACAGGGCGAGATATAAATATACTGTTGGTACTTGTGTAAATGTAGCCCTGTAAATACGATGTCCTTTTGTGTTCTGTTGTTTTATGTTCATGTTGTAACCTACTTGCTGCCATGTTGGATAGGTCTCTCTCTTGAAAAAGAGTTCGATGATCTCAATGAGAATCAAGGAGAATTTATCGTTATAATAATAATAACTAATACCCGATTCCTTTCTGCAGATCTTGGGCGACTCGGACACGTCTCTGCTGCTCAGCCTCAAACACCCTCAGCCGGTGGTCCGAGTCTCCGCTCTGACTCACCTTAAGGACGCTATCACCTACCAGGTAACCATGTTTCACTTCCTGTTAGCACACAGCTCAGACAGTTAGCATCACTGCAGACAACAAAACACAGTCTCTGGATCTATATTTACCTCTGTTTCATTGAAGATATCACATCTTCAGATCGACCCAATTTAAATGTGAAATTCTTATTTTAATTTTTTCTCCTAATAATTCTGACAAAATATATTCAAAATGTTCTAATTCTATCTCAAAGTAATCTGACATGTTTTCCTTAAAATATTTGTATCTTACCTATTGCAAGTCTTTGAGATCTTCTGTCTGTCTGTCTATAATACTTCTTTTTTTTGAAGGTATAAATATGTGTGTATATATTTAAACTTTTTTCTCGTAATACTTTTTTTGTAATATTTACTTTTTTTTTGCAGATATTTAGCTTTTTCTGTTAAAAATAATAACCCTTTCTCTCCCGATGTGTTTGTGTTTAGCAGCAGAATCTGAATGCAGCGTTCCTCAGAGACGTTGTGATAGAGAGTCTGCATGACGACGAGCCGACGGTCGCCGCAGCCGCCGTCAAAGTCCTCGAGGTGAGGGGGGTTTATAATACATTTATATATTGATTTAATATATATAGCGCCAGAGATCTGACGTTTTTTCTGTCCAGGTGCTGCTGGATGTGTTGGACCCTGAGGACGTGGTGACCAATTTACTGTCCCTGCTGCTCAGAAGACAACTGTCCCATGCTGAGGCCTGGTCAGTGAACTACACACACACACACACACACATATTTATCAATATTTGACGTTTTTCCAATTTTTTTATTTTTTCTCATATTTTGAATTTGTTCTCATATTTTGACTTTTTTCCCGGTTTTGGACTTTTTTCTCGTATATTGACTTTTTTCTCAGACTTTGAATTTTCTCTTAGAATGTATCTTTAACTCATAGAAAAAATAGTGTTCGAGTTAGGAGACAAGAGTTGAATAAATATTTTCCCTCTGTCCTATGAATGGTGTGTTCTCTGCTGCAGGCTGCCGGTGCTGACGGAGGCGCTGCGTTTGCTGTCCGACCCGCGGCTGGGAAATGGGGATGCTGAGCGGCTGCAGAGGGCGGCCTGGAGGCTCCTCCCCCTCCTCGTGCTCTCCTCCCTTGATGACCTTCCCCTCTTATCCTGCCTCATCCGGTGTCCCCTCCTCAGGACTCATCCCCTCACCCTCACCTGGGAACAAGGTAACGCTGAGGGCATTATATATATTTAATTTGTTCAGTTATCTCATTTCAGGATTATATAACAATAAGAGATCTGTTTTTGTTTCCGGTCAGAGCTGGAGGCGCTGATGAAGACGAAATCTGAACCAGACTTCCTGGTTACTGTTAATGAGCGCCTTGTCTCCACGATGACCAAAAACATCTCCGACATGGAGAAGTTCTGCAGACGAGATGCTGTGAGTCCATAACCTAGCAGAAACCTGCATAAACCCGAAGTCTCAGCGTCTGTTTTAACTTTAAATGTCACATTTTGAGACATTTTTCATTATTTGTAATATATGTATTACAACTATTCTACAGACATTTTTAGCAAATATTATTTTTAATAATATTATTTTTTTTAAATAATGTAATGTTACTTTTTACTGTCTTTTTCAATTTCAAATATTTTAGTTCATTATTCTAAAATATGTGAAAAACAGGTCGATGGCGGAAAATAAAAGTGAAAAATTATTTAGATTATCTGAAATGTATATATAAGTGAAAAATACCCTTTTAAATAGATAAGAAATATCCCCAAACATTTTTTCAAACTGTAACGGAACAATCTGAAAAATATCCAAAAATTAGGTTAAATATTTTCTAAATGGAAAAATTACAGTAGTAGTAGTATGCGTTTATTTGTCCCCGAGGGGAAAATGGGTTGCAGCACATCACAAAGGCATTTAAAAAGATAAATGTATGTTGTTCAGTATGTTTGAAACATAACATTTTAAATATAGAAAAAGAAGAAAAATGTGGAAATTCAATGTGAAAAAATTACTGAGATCATGTGAAAAATAACCAAAACACTTTTATGATATTAAAAAAAATATATCAAAAAGTTATTGGTTAATACAGAAAAATAAAGTCTGTAAATGCGTTTATTAAAATTTTAAATGTCTTTATGTTGTCTTTCAGCTGGAGAAGCTGTCTGCGCTGGTGGAGCAGCAGAAGGGCCCCTCCCTCGGGGTGCGGACCTCATTCGTGGTTCTGACCCGGGTCCTGCTGCAGGTCCTGGGGGAGCTGAGCGAGATGCAGCACATCATCACTGCCCAGAGTGTTTTCCAGCTGCTGGAGCGCCCCCTGCTGGAGGCCTGCAGGGGTGACAACCCACCCTCCTCCACAGAGACTCAGGTCAGAGTCTGTACACTGACTTTATCCATAATTATTCAAATGATTGTATGAAGTATGGAAATACTCTTTTATTGACAGAGTATTACGAGTCAACATGTATAACATTTACATATATTTTTTATGATTTTCATATATATTTCTGATCATTTTTAGAACTGCTTTCTACTATTTAATTTGTATTTAATAAAAAGCACTTTTCACACAGTTTCCTAATATATTTAAAACTTTTAGTAGTAGTTTATTTTTCTAACAAAGGGTTCTTATAAGTAAAACATTATGCAATTTTCTTTTTTAATGGCCAAAAAGGTTTTTGTCAATATATTGTTATAAAAAAAACCTAGAAAAAACAGCTAAATTAATAAAGAATATCTATAGGGTCTAAGGCAGGGGTGTCAAACTCAATTTCATCGCGGGCCACATTAGCATTATGGTTGCACTCAAAGGGCCGGTTGTAACTTTAAGACGATATAAATATATAAAATAATGTATTACATTATTGCCTCTGCATTGGATTATTATCGGATAGGGTAATAACTTCATAATTAACTACGTCTGAATGCAGAAGTCTAGGGCAAATAATTGCAAGTCTCTTCAGTGTGCATGTCACAAAATGAGATGCATTGTGGGACATGTTGTTTATTGGCAATGTGCTTCTGTAAAGCTGCATGTAATCGTATAATAAACATATTCTATTCTTTTTCACATAAAATGAAGTCGGGCCTTGAGTTAAGGTTAATCGGATAAAAAAAAAACGTGTGTGTGCACTGTGATGGATTGTTGGAGCTATGTGCAACTCGAGGCATATGCTCGAACGGGAGCTGCCTGGACTAACCGTGCTGAGTGTGCTGACTTTTCGTACAATGTCCCACTGTCTGGCTACCTGCATAAAGTCCAGTGCTCGGCGCAGTTGTCGGCAAAATGTTGCTCCTCTGTTTTCATTGAAACAGCACCTTATATCCGTTAGCGCAGCTAGCAAGCACCAGATGCTAACAACAACAATACACGTAAGGTGTGCCCGTTCTCTCTCTCGCTCGCGCCACACATTTTTTATAGCCCAAATTATTAGGGATGCATATTGGTTTTTTGAAACCGATACCGATAACTTCCTGCTTCTCAAGACCGATACCGATAATAAAAAAATCTTTACGCCACTAATTATTTTAATGCGATTAACGCATGTGTATTTTTTTTCCTCGGCCGCCCCGTAGTTTCAGAGCGCATCGAGTTTAAAATACCATCTACAAGCTGATGCTGATGCTGACAGCCCCTCTCCTGTCGCCTGCTTGTGGCAGACCACACTTCCACGCTCACCGGCAGGCACCGACTGGCCATCTGGAGGACCGGGAGGGTGTGTGTATGTGTGGCCCGAGCGAGCGAGAGAGAGACCTTACGTGCATTGTTGTTGTTAGCATCTGGTGCTAGCTAGCTGCGCTAACGGATATACGGAGCTGTAAACAGAGAAATGAAAACAGAAAATGAAAATGCGTCACCTCTAGGGATGGGTATCGTTTGAAATTTATCGATTTCGATTCCGGTTCTGCTTATCGATTCCGGTTCTTATCGATTCCCCGTTTCGATTCCAAAATTGTAAAATAAAGAGGTCAAACGTTTAGATAACAAAAATATATTTATTCTTAAAAGCTTTAACTGAAATTGTTACTCAAAAATATACATGCAATACAAATGTATTGCACAATAGCTGTGCTTTATTTTAACTGAGCTATGCCTGTGGCAAGCTATTAACAGGCATTACACTTTGCCTTTTCTTTTTCTTTTTTAGTGTAGTGGAGCCTCACTTCAGAGTGTTTACCGCGACCTATCTTTGGTGTTATGAAGTGACTGAGCTGGTGAAATGTCTACGGGAGGGCGGGGGAGCATCGCTGCGGGGCAACTGTGGACCTCTGTCGCCTGTCAGCGCAATTTATATGATGCCGTTTAAAAATATGAAGGGCGGTGCCGGCCGTCAGCGTACCGAGCCGGCCGTCAACGGCCCGCTGACGACCGGCCGTTCTGTGATTCTCCAGGTCCGCCCTGTATTCCACCGGGTCACCGCAGCACCGCGGTGCAGACGGACCCGCTGGAATACAGGGTCTACCGCGTTTAGGAACCGTTAAGCAGAACCGAAATTGTGTATTTTGTATGGGTACCCGGTACCCGGCATTTTCTTATCGGTTCTCATCTGGAACCGAGTTTCGGTTCCCAACCCTAGTCACCTCACAGAAACTGTCTGGAAAGCGGGCCCTAAGCGCATGCCTGCACCATCTCACTGTATGTCACCAATGTAATGTTTGTAGATCCCTTTATTACATTTATCCTCGCCATCCATAGTCTCTAAATAACTTATTTCACGTATATATGATATTTAGGCTCGCCGTACAACGGCAATGAAAAAAGCACCAGGGGAGGCAGCCATAACCTCTGCCGCACTGAAGGGGGCGCACGTGAGCCCACAGGTCCTCGTTGCTACTGTTATTCTACGCAGAGACGGTAGACCGTAGATGCAAACAACAAACTAGACTTTTGAAACGAGAGGAAGATAAGGAGGACTTTTACAAAAAAGTAATAGAGATTGTTGTCCAGAAGGATAGCATGGACTTCATCTTCAAGTCAAGGTAAGACCACATTGGTAATGAAAATGGGATCTTACTAAGAAAGAACAATCCAATATTTAGATTTTGGGTATCCTTTTGTTGAACGGTCTGTTTAAAATGAATCGAAACATCAGACCAAAAAAGCTTTTGAAAATAACAGAATATTTCGATTAAGGTCAGAATATAATATTTGTAAATCTGACTCTGAAAAAGTCAGTGCCTCACCAGCCATGAACCTCACCGCACGTCACTGGAATATTCGTTCGTTGGAGTACTATTCGGGTTTCAATTTCGTTATTCGTTTTTCCCCCGTTTCTTTTCAAAATTGAATTTATTGAAATCTCTAATATCAACGTAAGAGCTTGTGCCTCTTCGGGGGGTGCTAACACTTAACCATAAACGGTATCGTTTACTTTCTCCGTCTTTATATGTAGATATTAGTTTTCTCCGTTAATCTCCGTCACGTTGTTTCCAAAGCAACAACAACTTCCTGTCAACAAAAGAGCTACCTCTCCTTCAAAATAAAAGCATGTCCATAAATAGGAAGTCAAGCCAAATTACACTTAAGACGTATACAACTGCAACAAAAGTAACAAACACAATGCGATATCCTTTTCAATTTCAAAGAACACAAATTGGGTTACATTAACAAATAACCAGAGGTGGGAGTAAGTCCTACATGTGCAAGTCATGAGCAAGTCTCAAGTCTTGACCTACAAGTATCAAGCAAGTCCCAAGTCACTGTGATGAGAGTCAAGCAAGTCAAGTCATTGCTCAGGTCAAGCAAGTCAAGTCATACGAAATTCTGATGAATAAGCCCAGTTTCCGCATTTAAATCAGTTAAAAGACAGTGGTTAGGAAAGTTGATTCACACTATGATCTTCATTACATACACAGTTAATCATTTGAAATCGAATTTAGACCGATGACTATCATATTAGATTCATATTAACCCTAGAACTGCAGACGATATAGCTAGGACTTAATCCCGATGGGCTGGTACCGAAGTGGGCCGGTCGGATAAGTCACTAGCACATCCCCCACCCCCCCCCGTTGGTACCGAAGTGGGCCTGTCGAGAGTCCCGGGATGATTTTTAGTCCCAGTCCACCACTGGCTACATGACCGTATGATCGCCCATATTGACGCACCTAATTTCTAAACTTCTAACAGATACAACATAAACCAATCCTTCAGCCTCATATGAGCTCTCAGACACGTTCAAAATTAAACTGTCATCCCTGTCTGAGCTTGCTGCTGTGTGCACCATCGTGCGTTTACATGCAGATGCTGGGATCCTGAACGGTGCAGCTGGAGCGCTGTGCCCGCAATGACGTCACACATAATTTGGCGGGATTTGAAGAATCCCAGAGAAGATCCAGAAAATGGTCAACATTGAAGGGCAGATTAATGGTTATCAAAGTACAAATATCCAAAATCAGTTCAGTAACGATTTTCAAGCGGACAATATTTACTCAAATTGATGGGTTTGGATGATGTCACAGGCACTTTAAATTAAATATTCCAACCTGCTCACTAGCGCCACCTATCAAAATCCCATTTCGGAATAAATGTACAAAGTCGCACCGTAACTCCGAATGACCGGAAATTTTGCACACATCCGGGTGGACCTACTCTACAAATAATCCTCTTGGAACCCTAAGCTTTTTTTAAATTGGCATAATTTACATAAACAGTTAAATATTCACTTAAATTTCAATTTTCAGTTTTTCAACACCAAACTTCGTATCGGTGCAGGGTCAGACACATTACCAAAGAAAATGATTATGTTCAAACGATAAATATTGCCGCCATTAACCAAAACGTACTCGCACAAAGGCGGGGCTTAGAAAGAAATGCTCATAACTCATCAATAATGTATCCAAACATCACAGATTTTGGTGGACAGGTTCAGTTTGTCTTGGGGAATAGGCACACCAACATCATTTTGGACTATAGGGGGCGCCAAAAAGACCACCAATTTATAACTCAAGAACTGATGGACGAATTATTATTTATTTTTTTACACCTACTCTGGGGTTGACTACGAACTGAGATTGAAAGTGTCGCGACAAATGCAGAATGTGGGCGTGGCTAATACATTTTTTAAAAATTGCGATAGCATAAAATGAGCTTCAGACGTAAAATTTGGGACACACGTCACAGCCCACGACCTTTTCGAGAATGTAAAAAAAAAACTGCTCACTAGCGCCCCCTATTGTGTGGTAGTCACATATAGTTTCTCAGAACTTCACGAATTTTGGCACATACGTTCCTCCTACAATTGCGGACATATTTGTCATTGGCTTTCATTAGCCCCGCCCCCCAAGAAGTCGGCCATTTTGAAAAATGTGCGTTTTTCATGCATTTTAAGCACATTCTTTCGAACTCCTCCTAGGGGAATGATCGGAACAATTCCAATCCAGCACAAGTTCAGCCCCTATCCAATATGATGCAACATAGAGGGCGGAGTTGTCGGGTTCAGGAGTTCCTCAAAGTGTTCCTTCCAACGCCCTAACACTCCATCAGTTGAGGTCAACAACGTCCCATCCTTAGGTGTCGGACAGTTTTCCAGAACAACTTTGGTGCCGCCTGAAAGTCCTTCTCCATGTCTTCTCCAAACTTGCTTTCGCTCGGCCACGGATGAGGCTGCTGCCCTTCGGGCCTGTCGGTACCTTGCAACTTCCTCGGGTGTCCCCCGGGATAACAAATCCCTGAAGGCCTCCTTCAGTCGGACGGCTTCCCTGACCACCGGTGTCCACCAGGAGGTTCGAGGGTTACCACCCCTTGAGGCACCTAGGACCTTGAGACCACAGCTCCCCGCCGCGGCTTCGGCAATAGAGGCTTTGAACCCCGACCACTCTGGTTCAATGTCCCCAACCTCCACAGGAATGCCCGAAAAGCTCCGCCGGAGGTGTGAGTTGAAGGCCTCCTGAACTTGGGCCTCCTCCAGACGTTCCCAGTTCACCCGAACTACACGTTTGGGCTTACCAGGTCTATCCAGAGGCTTCCCCCGCCACTCGACCCAACTCACCACCAGATGGTGATCAGTTGACAACTCCGCCCCTCTCTTTACCCGAGTGTCCAAAACATACGGCCTCAGGTCCGATGATACGATAACGAAATCGATCATGGACCTTCTGCCTAGGGTGCTCTGGTACCACGTACACTTATGAGCATCCTTATGTTCGAACATGGTGTTTGTTATGGCCAATCCATGACTTGCACAGAAGTCCAGTAACAAACCACCACTCCGGTTCAGATCAGGGGGGCCGTTCCTCCCAATCACGCCCCTCCAAGTGTCTCCATCATTGCCCACATGTGCGTTGAAGTCTCCCAGCAAGATTAAAGAGTCCCCTTCAGGAGCCCCATACAGGACTCTTTCCAGGGTCTCCAAGAAGGCCGTATACTCTGAACTGCTGTTGGGTGAATAAGCACAAACAACAGTCAGAGTTTTCCCCCCCATAACCCGCAGGCGTAGGGAGGCGACCCTCTCGTCCACTGGGGTAAACTCCAACAACGAAGCACCCAACCGGGGACTTGTGAGTATCCCCACACCCGCCCGGCGCCTCACACCTTGAGCAACTCCGGAGAAGAATAGAGTCCAACCCCTATCCAGAAGTAAGGTTCCAGAGCCGACGCTGTGCATAGGGGCGAGCCCAACCAGATCCAACTGGTAACGCTCCACCTCCCGCACAAGCTCCGGCTCCTTCCCCTCCAGAGAGGTGACGTTCCACGTCCCCAAAGCCAGCTTCTGTCGCCCGGGTCTGGTCCGTCGAGACCCTCTGCTTTCACTGGCACCCTTCTGGCAGCGCACCCGACCCCATCGCTGTTTCCCGCGGGACGGAGAAGCGGAGGTGTTGCCCACGTTGCCTTTTCGGGCTGGGCCCGGCCGGGCTCCGTGGCAAGCCCGGCCACCAGACGCTCGCAGACGAGTCCTCCTTCTGGGCCTGGCTCCAGAAGGGGACCCCGGGCTTCCTCCGGGCCGGGTATATTCACTTCTTGTTTTTTCTTTCATGAGGTCTTTTGAACCAATCTTAGTCTGGCCCCTTGCCTGAGACCAATTTGCCATGGGAGACCCTACCAGGAACACAAGGTTCTAGACAACACAGCCCCCAGGTTAATCAGGGCACACAAACCTCTCTACCACGGTAAGGTGCTGGTTCTTCAGAGAGGTCTATGTATTAATATTAGACCTATTAATATGTAACAAATATATTCCATTTCAGAGCAGAAGAAACAGCCTTCAAGGGTCAAATTCTGCACATACATCATTCAGCACAGTGAATCAACTCCTCACAGCTCCTCATATCTGTTCAAAAACTAGACAAAAGTTAAACGAGTACAAACCACAGACCGTCTGTGTCATGGCGAATACAGTCGCTGCTTTAATTATGTCTTTAGGACGTTGTTGTGAGTTTGGATGGAGCAGATACAGGTTAGTTTCTGATCTGATCGAATGGAGATCGCTCCATTCAGAGAACACGCATTTTAAAAGTTTTTCGCCTGCCGTCTTCTCTGCACACTTGTCAAAGCATGGTTTTTACTAACCGTTATCAGTATTTAGTTACTTCGGGCATCATTTTAAAACGTGTATTACAATTAAATCACGGTAAAATTAATGGTTAATTTAGTCGTAGTTGGTTTCCACCACAGTATTTACATGGATATAAGCCCCGCCCCCTCTCCAGCGCGTCCTGTTTGAGTGACAGGAGTAAACAGCTGATAGCCGCGGTGAAACTCCAGCGGTTAGAGCGATGAGAATATCCATCATGGCCGCCGGTGAAAATCCTACCCTGGTCGACCGGTCGACCAATGCTGGCAATGCTGGTAGATCGCGAGTCATTCATAAATAAATAAAAATCCAGCTCCGTTAAAATAGACAAAACAAGTTTTGATCCCTCCTCCCTTGGCCTCCCTGCCACTTAATTCAGGAGTTTACTTGATTGACAGAAAAAGCGACCTATCGCTTTCCAGTCTGTTAACCCAGAATGCAAAGCGATACAAAATCAGTCAAGTGCCGGGAAAACTCAAATTAAGTTAAAGAGACAAACAACAAAATGAGTGCGGGACCGAGCAAAAAGCTAAAGACATACCACTTCCACCCAGAATGGGAGGAAGAATATTTTTTTGTGATGTCACATTCAAAGGTTATTTGTCTTATTTGTAAAGCAAGTGTCGCTCTGCCAAAGAAAGGTAACGTAGAGAGGCATTATCGGAGTGTTCACAAGGCATATGGCAGCGACTTCCCTCCGAGTTGAGAAAGAGAAAGGTCATGTATTATTGCTACACAAACATTATCTCGCAGTTTTAGTGTCGCCAACTCGTTTCTAACATGCAAAAAGACAAAAAAATGCGTCAATGTTCGGTGTATTTTAGATCTTTCCAATCCAGACATCCAGGTTTATCATTACTTTGAGAAAAAAGATTATTAATTTCCCCCTTTTAGAAGTGTAGTTATGGTCATTTGTTCTGGAAATGTCATTTTCGAGCCTGAGAACTGAAAAACAGGCTTGGGGCTCAACAGGTTGAAGTGAAGTACTCCCACGCTGTTTAAGATTTTAGTCGGACCGTGCTTCTCTCCGCCATTTTTCAAATGTTTTTTTTTCCCGAAGTGACGTAGACAGCTCCTCAAACAGAAACAATATATACCCAACTAATCGATAACTGAATTCGTTGCCAACTGTTTTGGCAATTGATTTTTATTGATTCGTTGTTGTACCCCTAAATATAAAATGATCATTTAAGAATACTAGGAAGCAGGTTATTGATTAAAGATCTTTAAATGGATATTATAATAATATTGTTATTTTCCTCTGTATATAAACAGGAAGTGTCGTCCTTCTCCATGGTGTTCTCTCACTTCCTGCTCAGCGCTGATCAGCTGACGTTCAGCAGCGTCCTTGTCACTCTGCTCAGAGACTTTATCTCGAACCTGCGCTGCCCCTACAACGCCTTCAAAGGTACAAAATCATGTTAATAATATATATAATAGATTTTTTCCTCCCTGTGGACTCGTTTTTTCCTTTTTCAATGGAAACAGCACAATAATGGGTAGTCTTTTGTGCAGTGTAAATCCATAATTCATGGAAACAAGAAGCATTTCATTGATTTATTTATATAAAATGTATTTAATCTATGCAGAAATGTTTATCCAAGGAAAATGTTCAATATTTTTCTAAAATAAAGTTATTTCAGGGTGCTATGGAACTATTATAACACTTTAATTGTAATGTGTTCAAGGTTTGAAAAGGGCTATAAATACAGATTTTGCAGATTTTAATTAATTTTGTTATGTTATAGTTCATGTATTTTCCAGGATCTGCTCAGAGCACTGACTTTATTTTTGGCAATTTTGTATTTATAGAATGAAGCCGTTTTAATAAAAAATATAACTAAGCTTATTTTAAAATGTTCCTGATTGAAGCGTGTCACACACGCATTCAAGGACTGTCGGAAAGGTCAAAATCAGACAAAATATTATATTTTTGCAGTTTGTGGCTGTGATAAATGGTGTATTTTTTTGTGATTTTTTTTTTTTTATTAACCTTGCAGCGGGGGTGTGGTGGAACCCAGAGAAGCTGGACAACAACACCTGCGGTTACCTGAGCCTGATGCTGCAGATCTCCAGCCTCCTCATTAGAGGGGCCTCTGAGGGCCCGAACGCCGCAGCCTGCAGGGACCTGATGAAGCTGCTCATACAGGTATGTGAGGTCATTAAATAAAATAATAATCATGTTTTAATTTTGTCCAAAAAAACCCCACAAAACATGTTAATTTAATCAGGATTTATTGGCTAAAGTCTCCTTTGTTATCTAACACAACTAAGGTATGTGAGGAGGTGATACAAGTACTGTACATAAATGTTTACATTACATTTTAATGTGCTTACCTTTGATTTAATTTAATCAGGATGTTCTAACACATCTAACATTAACGCCCCCCCCCAGGTGCACTTCCCCTCCCCCCCGCTGCTCTTCCGCTTCCTGTGCATGATGTGGGGTTACGTCGGTAACCATGGAGACCAGCTTGACGTACAGGTGGACGCTGTCCTGCAGACCCGGGCGCTGTACATGGGGGCGGCGCTGCTGACCAATCAGAGCACCGTCATGCTGCAGGAACTCAGCTCCGCACAGTCCCCCGGTGAGGACCAATCACATCTGTTTATACTCTGCATGTTGATAAAAACTACAGTCTGCCTAGCAACAAGGTGACCGGCTGCAGTCTCGCTCAAAGTAATGATGATTATCAGCTTTGCCGGTTTTTCTGAAAACCGTATGGATTCGATGTTTTTGCCGTGAGCATCTGAGCGCCCTTATGAACCATTTGTGAGATTATTGTGTATTTAGTCGGTATAATGTGTCTGTGGCAGCAGTTTTCCTAAAGTGTTCGGCTTTCCCACCAGCAGAAGATGTATCATGTCTATGGGCGAGGCAGCTGGAGTTTTTGTCACTCTGATCCCCTTTAGGCGAGATCCATTTCATATCATGAAGACACCGAGACAACGCTGACTAATTCCATCCATCTGTCTTCTCCTGCTTATCCGTGGTAGCAGTTCCAGCAGAGAGCCCCAAACTTCCCTTTCCCTAGCCACATCAACCAGCTCTGACTGGGGGATTCCAAGGCCAGCGGTCCTAGGTCTGCCCCTCGGTCTCCTTCCAGCTGGACGTGCCTGGAACACCTAGAGAGGGGCACAGGTGGCATCCTTACAAGGTGCCCGAACCACCTCAACTGGCTCCTTTCAACGTGAAGGAGCAGCTGTTCTACTCAGAGTCCCTCCCGGATGACTGAAATTCTCACCTTATCCCTACGGGGGATGCCAGCCACCCTGCGGAGAAAACCCATTTTGGCCGCTTGTATCCGTGATCTCGTTCTTTCGGTCATGACCCATCCTTCATGACCATAGGTGAGGGTTGGAACAAAAATGGCCCAGTAGACAGAGAGCTTTGCCTTCTGGCTCAGCTCTCTTTTCGCCACAACCGTCCGGTAAAGCAACTGCAGTACCACTCCTGCTGCTCCGATTCTCCGGCCCATCTCACGCTCCATTGTTCCCTCAATCGAGAACAAGACCACGAGATACTTTAACTCCTTCACTTGGGGTAAGGACTCATTCCCTACTTGGAGTGGACAGTCCATCGGTTTCCTGCTGAGAATCATGGCCTCTGATTTGGAGGTGCTGATCCTCATCCAAACCGCTTGAAATCCTGTCCATGAATATCACAAACAGGATTGGTGACAAAGCGCAGCCCTGGCGGAGGCCAACCCTCACCGGAAATGGGTCCGACATACTGCAGAGGACCCGGACACAGCTCTCGCTTTGGGAGTACATAGATTGGATGGCCCTGAGTCGAGACCCCCTCACCCCATACTAGCACCTCCCACAGTATCTCCCTGGGAATCCGGTCATACGCCTCATACAAAACACATGTAGACCGGATAAGCGTACTCCCAGGCCCCCTCCAGGGTCCTTGCGAGAATAAAAAGCTGATCCGTCGTTCCACGACCAGGACGGAATCCGTATTGTTTCTCATCAATCTGAGGTTCGACTATCGGCCGGACCGATCTTCACTAAACTTAAACTGGGATTTTAGGAAAACCAGTCAGTCTTTCAAAAAACCCTTTAAGTCCAATAAAGAGGAGAGTCTGGAGATTAATTTAAACCTTTAATCTATATTCTTTGTTAAAGTATGGCAAAGCAATGTGGCCTCAAATTAGCATATTTTCTCTATATTCCCCCCAGTGGTTCCCTCTCTGCTCTGCTGTCTCTCCTCTCCGGTGAGGGAGGTGAGGAGGGCGGGGCTTAGCGCTCTGCAGAACCTATCAGCAGCCAGCGCCTCTCCCTTCCAGCCAATCACAGAGAAGCTCCTAAAGACCTCAGAGGAGATCATCGCTGACCCCGCTTACCTGAGCCAGGTGAGCAAGAAACATTATTTAATGTGAGATAAATATAATACAATTTCAACAGTATATCTTATGACTTATGATTATCGTATGACTGTTGCTCCCTGCAGGCTCTGGGCGTCCTCCAGGATCAGAGTGTGGTTTCTCTTCAGCCTCTGCTGCAGAGCGTGCAGATGTCCTGCTGTCCGTCCTACAGCGCCACCTGTCTGCTGAGAAACCTGAGACACGTCAACGGATCGGTGAGAGACCAACACACACCTGTAGTCAACTTCGTTAACCTGTTAAACCCAGAGGCCTGCTGTTTTTTTTTCTCACGAAACTGTGTCTCAGGGCTTCTTAACATTTAAAAACCTATGAATGTGTCATACCCACTTAACGGGAAGAAACTCGGCTATCAGACAATATTAACAATTTTTAGCTAAACAAAACACAAGGGTAATAACAAAGGCTCTGAATTAGCCCTGAGCGAAAAAATGCTAACGCACTTAGCACAGAACTCAAGGTAAAATACCCTTATTACTTATCGGATCTGCACAAACAAGATATCGATTAGCAAGCTGAGATTCCACAGATTCCAGAAATATACTGAGCGATCAGAACTTGTGGCATGGGAAGCAAACCCAGACATCACACCACGTAGCTTTACGGAACAAACACGGGACATTCTTACCTTTGCCGTTGTTCTGATCAAAAGTTGTGTTCAATGGCATTAAAACGATAAAAACGCTGCTGAAGGTTAATCCAATGTTTCTGTGTCCCTTTGAAATGATTACTGATAATCCATCATTCAATTTTTATGTCAATAACGGAGTTTTCATATATAGCTACTATGATAGCTACTAGAGTGTATGACAGCTTCTGGTATTCACCAATGGGTAATGTTTAGATGGATTTTTAGGAACTTCCCCTCGATTCTATTGGCTCTAACGGTTAAAAAGAGATGTCAATCATCAAAATCGACCAAGGGGGGCCAGAGATATGGAAAATGTACCCAAAGTGGGTTTTTTGAAGAAATAGTCATTTGTTCTGGGAATGTCATGTTTGAGCCTGAGGCCTGATGTCACAGCTAGAGGGTAGAACATCTTGAAATTTGCCTTCATATCTTTTTTTAAAACTGCCATAATTTCCAAACCCTACATTGCTGAGACATAATTCTTCATTACAAACGTATGAAAACATCTCGTAGCTTGAAAAATGACAAATAATTAAGCAAAAATAATTAAACAAAATGCCTCTTGAGGGCATGAAGTGACAACAACTTTCAACATGCCTCCATTAAAGCCCATTGTAATTTCAGGCTGATATTTCCTCACAGCAGCAGCACACCTTTAGTTAAACTGCCAAAAAGGCCACATTATTAACCCGAAAGTACACAAAAATTACACTTCAGATACTCAACTTCCTTGACATGCTTCACGTTTGACACAATGCTCTCCATGAAACACGGCTTTCTCATAACTTCAGTGAAAATACTCAACACCCCAAAACTTCACAGGTTTGTTAAGGATGCGGCCATCAACACATCTAAGCGTATTATGGGGTGTCATCAAATGCCGTTGGCATGGCGACAGATCATTCACCATCAAGTTAGTTCAGAAGTTTGCAGTTAAAATATTCTGCTGCTTTTCCAAGCCTTTTTACTTTCTTTTCTTCTCTCATCACACATTCAAGCCCCCAGTGTTCATGTATCATTTCAATCTAAATTCTTCACTTTCTTCTTACACATTTCATTTCAGCATAGCAGTTTAGCTTCAGCTTTTCAGCATAAAGCATTCCCACATTCTCTAGTTTGTTTTAAAGTTCAATAAATGGATGTTTTCAAAGTCAATGAATAATCGTATTTAATAATCTTGATATCAATTATTGACCAAAAATAATCGTGATTATGATTTTTGCCGTGTGTGTGTGTGTGTGTGTGTGTGTGTGTGTGTGTGTGTCGCTATATTCAGAGCTCTGCTGCCTTGGCTACAATCTTTCATCGTTGTATGATTGGTGTTTAGCTACGGTATTTAGCGTCTACAGCACCTCCGCTTTTAGGGTTGACGTAGACGCAAACTTCGCCCGGAGGTCCCCCGGTGTTGTTGCGGGAGCTGCTGCACTAGCTAACGCTACATTAGCAAAACAAACGCTAATTTATTTTTGCAAAAGGTGCAGCGGGCTTCAAACACGTTCCCTCCACTGGTTTCAACCAAGCACTAAATTCGATGTTTTCCAACCAAATACGGTTGAACTTGCACTTCCCCATATTTATTTGTAAGTAGATTCGAAGAGACATGAGTTTGTGACTGCCGCTAGCTGAAGCTTGGTTGCTAAGTTACTAGCTGGGTGTTCTCCGATAAGGGGCCGGGGGAAACAAAGTTAGTGATTACTGATTCCATGTTGATTTATTTCAATACAAATTGTTGGGGGGAACTGCAAGGCTATTACCGTACTGGTTACTTTGCAGCCCGGACATTTTCCCCAAAACACATTTTAGACGCGATCACAACACAGAAGTACCTTTCAAATCCCATCATTTTTAAGACCTTCTAAATCATATTTAAGACCTTTCTTATTTTTTTGGTCATATTTAAGACCTTTTTAAGGCCTTAAATTCAGATTATCAAATTTAAGGCTTTTTAAGACCCCGCGGGAACCCTGTGTCAGGCACTGACACGTTAATAGATTGCCCTATCGGGCAACCAGCAGGTGAGGCTTCATTGCCCGAGCTAAATACTAGATTGCTTCGGGCCATCGGGCAGTCGTTAATGTCGAGCCCTGTTTATATATATTTTTTTAATCCTCCGGAGCAGAGAGAGGAGCTGTGGATTATTGTTATTGATTAATGCATCAGTGTTTCTTAGGGTCAAAAACACTAAACTCACAACTTAAAATGAAAGCGTTTAGTTTATTTAATAAAAGAGCACATGTTCAATGTGAACAGTGACCGTAAATAGATTACTTCAGTTGCAATTTGGTGCTATATATAAAAAAAAAACACTTCAAATTTCAGGGGAGGCGCGGGGGCTCCATTGGCGCAGGGGAAACACTGCTGTATCAAGATTGATGCATAACAAGTTAAATTTGACCTTTTTTAGAGAAAAAAAAAACACTTCTGGGGTCATTTGGGTGGATTTGCCAGATCTCTGGAACCCATCGGTCGATTTTGGTGATTGACACCACTTTTGAACCGTTAGAGCCAATAGAATCGAGGGGAAGTTCCTAAAATCCATCTAAACATTACCATTGGTGCAGCGCAGCCAGCATGCCCAAAACCGGAAGAGGGTTGTGGCTCTCATACACTCTATATGAAAACTCAGACATAAATGTTATGATGGATTATCAGTAATAATTTCAAAGTGACACAGAGACATTGGATTAACCTTCACCAACGGTTGTATGCGTTTTAATGCCATTGAACTAGGGCTGTCAGTCGATTAAAAATATTTAATCGCGATTAATCGCATGATTGTCCATAGTTAATCGCGATTAATCACACATTTTGTATCTGTTCTAAATGCACCTAAAGGGATAGTTTTTAACACTTATCAACATATGAGTGGACAAATATGCTTTATGCAAATGTTTATTATCATTTGAACAATGACAAAATTCTCATGAATATTAAAAACAACAACCTCTGAACATTACAAATATTCGCCTCAATTCAACCTGCAACCTCTCATACAATAATACAATAGTGTGTGTGTGTATATGCTCGAACGGGAGCTGCCTGGACGCTGTGATCATGTTGCGCGCACTACCTGTGCTGAGTGTGCTGACTTTTCGTACAATGTCCCACTGTCTGGCTTCCTGCATAAAGTCAAGTGCTCGGCGCAGTTGTCGGCGAAATGTCGCTCCTGTTTTCATTTAAACAGCTCCTTATATCCGTTAGCGCAGCTAGCTAGCACCAGATGCTAACAACAACAATACACGTAAGGTCTCTCTCTCGCTCGCTCGCGCCACACATACACACACCCTCCCGGTCCTCTCCCGATGGCCAGTCGGTGCTTGCCGGTTAGCGTGGAAGTGTGGTCTGCCACAAGCGGACGGCAGGAGCGTTGCTATCAGCATCAGCTTGTAGATGGTATTTTAAACTCAGAGGACAAAAAATGCTCATCTGTTAATCGTGTTAAAATAATTAGTGGCGTTACATTTTGTTTGCGTTATTAACGCGTTAACTTGACAGCCCTACATTGAACACAACGTTTGATCAGAAAACAGCAAAGGTAAGACGTATTTGCCGTTTTGGCTATGCAAAGTGAAGTTGTGTATTGTCTTTGCTGCCGCGAGTTTTGGTCACTCAGTGATAGGGATGGGTATCGTTTGAAATTTATCGATTTCGATTCCGGTTCTGCTTATCGATTCCGGTTCTTATCGATTCCCCGTTTCGATTCCAAAATTGTAAAATAAAGAGGTCAAACGTTTAGATAACAAAAATATATTTATTCTTAAAAGCTTTAACTGAAATTGTTACTAAAAAATATACATGCAATACAAATGTATTGCACAATATGCCTGTGGCAAGCTATTAACAGGCATTATACTTTGCCTTTTATTTTTATTTTTTAGTGTAGTGGAGCCTCACTTCAGAGTGTTTACCGCGACCTATCTTTGGTGTTATGAAGTGACTGAGCTCGTGAAATGTCTACGGGAGGGCGGGGGAGCATCGCTGCGGGGCAACTGTGGACCTCTGTCGCCTGTCAGCGCAATTTATATGATGCCGTTTAAAAAAATGAAGGGCGGTGCCGGCCGTCAGCGTACCGAGCCGGCCGTCAACGGCCCGCTGACGACCGGCCGTTCTGTGATTCTCCAGGTCCGCCCTGTATTCCACCGGGTCACCGCAGCACCGCGGTGCAGACGGACCCGCTGGAATACAGGGTCTACCGCGTTTAGGAACCGTTAAGCAGAACCGAAATTGTGTATTTTGTATGGGTACCCGGTACCCGGCATTTTCTTATCGGTTCTCATCTGGAACCGAGTTTCGGTTCCCAACCCTACTCAGTGATGAGATTTATACCATTGTAATCTGTGGAATCTCAGTTTTCAGATGATATCTTGTTTGTGTAGATCTGATAAAGTATAAAATATTTCTACCGTGAGTTATTTGCTAAGTCCGTTAGCATTCTTTCGCTTAGTGCTAATTCAGACGCTCAGCGTTAGAGTTGTGTTTTGTTTCGGTAAAAATGGTTCATATCGTCAGTTAGCTGAGTTTCTTCCCGTTAAGTGGGTATGACAAAAAAAAAGCTGCGCCTTAACATGGTTAAATCTTCTAAAACAAGCTTAAAACACGGTTAAATCTTATTATAAAACACTGAAATCACGTGGTTAAATCTATATAAAACCAAAGAAAAACATTTGGTTTAATCTCGTTAAAATAATAAATGTGGTTAAATCTCTGTTATAAAATAATAATTGAATCTTGCCAAAGGAAAACGGGGCTTAATTTAGTTATAACCAGGGTAGGAATTTGTCCACGGCCATGGCCGTCGTTGCCCGTCGGTCTGGCCGTGATGCCCCGAAAATAATTGTACGTCCTACGGCCACCTTGGCCTTTGTGCCCCTCATACTGTTAAAATCTCGAAGTTGCTTTAAAAGCGTTAGAGCAGTGGTCTGGTCTCTGAACTGCATTATTCTGCGTTCACACCGGACTCGATGCAATCGCTCTAGTTTCACCGCGGCTGTCAGCTGTGTTTACTTGCATAATTCAAACAAGATGCGCTGGCCAGGGGGCGGGGCTTATATCCATGTAAATACTGTGGTAGAAACCAACTACAACAAAATGAACATATGATGATTGAATTGTAATACACGTTTCAAAATGATGCCGAAGTAACAACATACTGATAACGGTTAGTAAAAACCATGAATTAATGCTTTGACAAGTCTGCAGACAAGACGGCAGGCGAAAAACCTTTTAAAATGCGTGGATTTTTTGAATGGGAGAAGTTGTAGATAGAAAACATACCAATTTCATACATTTTTATTAATGGTAATACTAAGGAGGCATAGGCCTATGATGATATAATGTTTGACATTATTGATATTAAAAAAGTGATCTGTTTTCCATGTCATTCGTGTGTTTTTCTTATCAGAAAGTTAAGTTATTTATTTGTAAGCTCCAAATCCTAATGTTTCCCTCAATGGGCTTTATGCCCTGGCATGTGGCCTTTGTGCCCTAAAAAATGTTGTGACACCAAATGGCGGAGAGGGGAAGGGGGATGTCCGGTGCCTTGCTCAAGGGCAGCACGGCAGGGTAGGCGGTGAACTGAGACCTCTCCTAGTATCAGTCCACACTGCATACTTTAAGTCTGAATCGGCGACCCTACGGCTCCCAGTCCAAGCCCCTACTGACTGAGCCACGAGAAACATATAGTTTAATCTCTTTTAAAAATGTAATAATCCCTGTTACCCCCCCAAGTCGGTGCTGGCGGGCCTGCTCCCAGTCCTGGAGAATCTCCTGGATCAGAGTGCTCCGGACGTCCCCCCCCTGCTGAGAGACGAGGCCCAGCTGGTGCTCCTGATCCTGGGGAAGTTCAGCCAGGAGGCGGCCCCCCTGCTGGACCAGGACCAGAACTGCCTGGATCTTTTCATCAGGGTCCTGAAGACCCAACACCCGCTGCACCCAGACCTGCCAAGCTGCCAGACCACTGCCCTGGAGCAGGTCAGGGGATAATACTGGGTTTATATTGGGACTACTACTGGGATAAATGCTGGGTTTAAACTGGGATATATCAGGGTTAAAAACGGGGTTTATACTGGGACTACTACTGGGATAAATACTGGGTTTTTACTGGGATATATCAGGGTTAAATACTGGGTTTATTGTGGGATATCTCTGGGTATAAACTGGGTTAAATACTGGGTTTATACTTGGCTAAATACTGGGATAAATACTGGAATTATATCAAGGTTGTTAGGTTTGAACCAAGGTTAAATCAGCGTTACAAACGGGGTAAAAAAAGATGATTAAGAACAGAGATATCTTAGTTTTACAACGGGTGAAACAGGATTTCCTTCCTGGGTTGAATTGGATAATATATCAGGTTTGAACACAGGCTTAAATCAGTGATAAAACAAGTTTATACCAGGTTAAACATGGTTTATATCAGGCTTAAACATAAGAGTTAAATCAGGGGAAAACAGGTGATCACATTAGGGTTGATTCAGGGTTCAACATGGGAAAATGTGAGTGTTAAATCAGGGATTATATCACGGTTACACCAGGTAAAAACTGGAATTTTCAGGGTTAAATTGGGTAATATATCAGGGCTGAACACAGGGTTAATCGGGGGTTTATACCAGGGTTAAATCAGGGACAAAATAAGTTTAAACCAGCGTAAACATGGTTTGTATCAGGCTTGAACCAGGGATTACATTTTAGGTGATTCATGGTTAAACCCGGGATAATCTGACGGTTACATTTAAGAATTATATCAGGGATAAAACTATTTTTTTAACACTGTTTAAAAAAACGTTGGTAAAACCAGATAGAATTCAGTGTTAAACCAGGGTTAAAGCCTTAAAACCAATTTTTACAGAGATTTCAATCTTGTTTCAAATGTGGGCAGTCTCTCTCCTCCTCCTGATGGTTTATATTTATCTCCTCTTCCTCCTGCAGATGACGAAGCCCTTCTTCTCCGCTCTCGGGGAGGCGGTGCAGCAGCGCCTGCTGACGGCGATGTTCGATGTTCTGACGGAGAGTCGCAGCCCCCTAGTGGCAGACACCATCAGCAGCGTCTTCAAACGGGTGAGACAGAGACACTGGATATTACTTCTGTGTCTCACTGCTCTTTGTCTCACTGCTCTGTGTCTCATAGCTCTGTTTTAACTCGTGTTCTTCGTCCTCTAACGTTGTTTATTTCTGCGTCAGATCGCGGTGCACGGTCAGCTGTTAGCCAATGAGCTCGCTCCACATGAGAAACCCAAAGTGAAGGTGACGGTGCAGCAGACACGCCGCAGCAGGATGAGCCAGAGGTAACGATTATTTATTCAGCTTTTTTTATTTATTGATCTATTTATTTGTTATCTTTAAAGCTTATTTAAAAAAAGTATTCCCTTTATTTTCAATTTATTCATGCATTTAATTTTTTACTTGTTTATTTTTTTGTTCATTTATTTCTTTGTGTGTTTTATTATTATGTATTATTCAATCCATTTATTTATTTATCTTTTAATGAATTGCCTCATTTAATTATCTATCTGTTTATCTACCTATTTAATTATTAACTTATTTACACATAGATTAAAGTTTAAAAGCATCCTGAAACTCAGATTTGAGTCCAACTTAATTTAACTAAGTACCATTTTGTGTATTGTACACATCTTTACTTTTAATACAGTTTTTACCCTTTTTTAAACCCACTTTTTTAACTGGATTTTCTTATTTAATTGGGAAAAAATCAATCAAGTGAGTTTTCAGTTTGAATTTGCCTCATGCTGATATCTGTGTCTCCTGTTCAGAATTCCTCTGGAGGCCCCCGGGGGTCCGGAGTCTCCAGAGGAGGGCGCTGTGTGCTGGAGGAGAGTCTCTCTGATCCTAGAGCTGCTGCAGAACAAGAAGAAGCTAAAGAGAGCGCAGAGCCTTGTACCTGTTCTCTTCTCTCTGCTGCACAGGTAACCAATCACTGCCCTCGATAGTTGAGAGGGGTGTGGGTGTGTTAATGTTTTGCTGTGTGTGTTTGTTAGTGTAAATGTTTTGGTGTGGGTGTGTTAATGTTTTGCTGTGTGTGTGTCCTCAGGAGTCTGGATTCCTCTCCCTCTGATGACACCAACATTGAGTACATCAAGCAGCTGCTGCTCAGCTGTCTGCTCAACATTGTCCAAAAACTGAAGCCTGAAGGAGGTGCCGCGGGGACAGGTAGGTCTGCATCACAGAAGAAGAAACACACTGACTGTCCTCCACCACAGGAGAAGAAACACACCTCTAACTGTCCTCCACCACAGAAGTAACCCTAACGTCTCCCCCCCTGCCCTTTTCTCAGAGCACCTGGAGGAGGAGAAGTTCAGCGTGGAACTGGTGGTTCAGTGTATCCGATTCTCCGACATTCCTCAAACGCATCACAATGCTCTGCAGCTGCTGGGAGCCGTCGCCGCCATCTACCCCGTGAGTGTGTGTGTTTGTGTGAGAGAGAGATTCCTTCCTCTGTTTCTACATCCTTCCTCTATAGGGCTGCACACTTCATGTAGATTTTATCACATGACTTCCCGTCACCACCGCTAAGCTAAAGTTGGCTAATGTTGGGCTATAAAGGAACTACATCACGGTCACGTGACTTCACGTCACCCCCGCTAAGCTAAAGGAGGCTAATGTTGATGCATAATTTAATCTTACCAAAGGAAAACGTGGTCTAATTGAGTTAAGACACTCTGAAAAACCCTTTATTTAATCTCATTAAACACAACACTCGTTTTACTCTTCGAAATAAAAGCCTCGCAGCTCGATGGAAACAACACAATAATGGCTTTAAAATAACATTCAAAATTTCATTTATTTTTGTATATGTTTTACTTGATGTATTTTTCAGGATCATGATGATGTGTGATGATGTGTAGTGTCTCTAAACAATGAATTAATCTAAGATATTGTGTATTTCCCCTGCAGGAGAAGGTGCTGCACAACATCATGCCCATCTTCACCTTCATGGGGGCTAACATCCTGCGGCTGGACGACGCCTACAGCTTCAGAGTCATCGAGCAGACGCTGACCTTGGTCATCCCTGCACTCATACAGGTGGGGAATATTACAAATATGAAAGTAAATCATGAGTAATTAATAACACCAGTACTTTATAATACACGTACAGGTCAGAAAATAGGTTTTGTGACAGTAAATCATGTTTAAAAATACCCACCAAGGTGTACATGTAGGGAAAAATGTGTGATAAATAAGATTAAGACCTCATATGATTATTTTTGTATTATTATGGTTATAAAAATGATTCTTATAAATAAAAATTGTAATGATAATAAATATTCTCATAATTTTTTTTAGAAGTGGTTTTGATTATTAAAAAATATAAATAATTAATTTGTCTCTTTCTTTAAAATATATTTATATATCTTCCAGGCCCACCAGCTCTCTGAGGGAGGCTCCTCCCCCTCCCTGGTTGCCGTGGTGACGAGGATAGTGCACGTGTTTGTGGACGCTCTCCCTCACGTCCCCGAGCATCGAAGGCTGCCCGTCCTCCATCAGCTGGTGCAGACGCTAAGCCCCGCCCCCCTTCCTCTGGATCCTCATGCTGCTCCTCTTCAAGCTCCACGCCTCTTCCTCAACTGCAGCCAGCGGGAAGGTAATGCACCGCATTCTGGGAGACGTAATCCCTCTACAATAACATGATTCCTTTTAGCCATGTTTACATTTCAATCAATGACTTTTTCTCTTGTATTATAAGATAAGATGGAACTTTATTTATCCCTGTGGGGAAATTCAGGCGTTTCTAGCAGCAACAGAGTTGAAAAAAAAAAAAAAACAGGATACACACAAGGTAAAAATAAATACAATACAAAATGTTAATAATAATACAAAATGTTTTTTAAATTGATAAATTAACTATTGAAACAAGATATCACAGTAAAACGTAGAGCATTTGAATGAACATGTTAATCACTTCAAGACACTGGTACTTGCTTACCATGCTGCGAATGGATCTGGCCCTTCGTACATCCAGGACATGGTTAAACCGAACACCCCAGCGCGTGCACTACGCTCTGCATCAGCCAAACGACTCGCTGCGCCCTCGCTGCGAGGGGGACCCAAGTTCCCATCAGCGAAAACACGTGGGTTTGCTGTCCTGGCTCCAGGATGGTGGAATGAGCTCCCCATTGACATCAGGACGGCAGATAGCTTGCACATCTTCCGGCGCAAACTGAAAACTCATCTCTTTCGACTCCACTTCGAGCGATAGAACTATTAACGAAGCACTTTTATACTAATAAAGGACTGGCTTATCTAAAGCCAGTTGAGTAGCACTTGAAATGTTTTTGCTCTATGAAGCCTGATGTACTTATATGATTCTGTTTTCTTCAAGTTGTATTTTGTTGGTCGAACGCACTTATTGTAAATCGCTTTGGATAAAAGCGTCAGCTAAATGCAATGTAATGTAATGTAAAATATATTTTCGTGTGTGTAGAAGGCCGCTCTGGAGAATGATGTGGAGTTCTGGATTTCTCTGTGCTGTCAGTTTGATGTCAGTGATCAGCTGACTTCGCTCATCAACATCCTCAACTTCCTGCTGCAGCTCCCTGAGGACAAAGACGACGGTAAACCTAATAATCTAAGATGTGACATCACTATGTAACACTCGCGCTCCTATTGGCTTGTGCTCCAACACATTGTGAGTGATAGGCTAAGGGGCGGGACATCTCTAAGCAGGTTGACCAATCACAACAGAGCTCTCATATGAAGTTGTCATATGCTTCTAATAAAATGATCTAGGTCTAAAAATACTTTTATTATAATAATTAAAGAGTGAAATAATGTAAATAAAAACAGAAATATATATTTGACTCCTGATGTTTCCTCCTCAGCTGCTGCATTGAAGAGCTCTGCAGGGCAGAGAGGAGCGATGATGAAGAGGAAGGATGAAGATGAGGAGGTGCAGGACCTGATCTTCAGCCTGGAGACTCACAGCAGCAAAGAGCTGAGACACTTCAAGTTCCTCTGCGTCTCCTTCATGGCTCAGCTGCTCAACTCTAACGCCTTCATCGCCAAGGTAGGATAATTCATATTAAATAATATATAATTATTTAATTTTAAAGTTATCTTTACGTCCATTGGAAAAATCAACAAAGACCAAATAATATATTTATTTATACCTCTGGGAAATTGGGTTTCATGACTTCCTTTTTGAGTTAAATTAAATACTTTATTTTTGTATTTAAATACCACTGTTTATACACATTTGATTAACTTCAATGTATCATCCCCATATCCCCATATCCATATCTGTACCCTGTTTAATTTATTCCAAACTAAAACAAGTGCAAATACAAATATTTATTAGACATAGACAATTTAAAGGTGCTCATTGTACGAAAATATATAGGTATATATATTATATATTTTTATAGCAAGAAATATGTGTATTTTAAAATACATATACATAAAGTGTATTAGTCATAATAAAGAAATTCAAGACAATACTCCAAATGCTTTTATATTCCCCTTGGTAATTGTGACATTTGCTCCATTTTAAATTAATAACAATTACCACAAAAAAAATGTAATTGATAAATAAAATATGTATACAAACAAAAGAAGTTTAAGTAAACATTTGCACATTTTACTATAGTATACAGCAGGGGTGCCCAACCAGTCGATCGCGGGGAGATTCCCAGTCGATCGCGAGATGTGTCTAAAAATAGAACAACAATATTCAGTTTTATCGTTAATGTCCTATAACATAATCTTCCTGTGCTAGAATAATGCACTTGAACGCATCAAAGCTTTGTGATTGGCCGGCGTGATCCCATGTGTCGGGGCGTGGCTGGTGGGCAGTGGGCACTATTTTGCTGACGTTGTCCGTGTCGACAGGAGTGACAGTCCGCACACACACAAGACCGTAATTATGGCAGAAGTAAAAAAGCCCAAAATATATAATTTTCACTCCGAGTGGGAGGATGATTATTTTTGTATCTATTCCAATTCAAAGTCCATCTGTCTCATCTGCAATGCGAGCGTGGCTTTATCTAAGAAGGGTAATTTATAGGTATGTAACCATACCAAAAACTCACGGTACGATAATATCGCGATAACAAGTCCACGGTACGGTATTTATCGCGATATTGAATAATAAAGGAGAAAACAAATTTTTATTCTTTTTTTTTTTTCAATAACAATTTTTTTTACTTGGAAAATGTTTCTTTATTACATAATAAATCTGATTTGTACAGCATTTTAGTAGTATAGCAGTATTTTAAAGTGTCAAAAACAAAGTGACAGTAACAGAATGGAACAAGAAAACCAGTGTTTTTTTACCTATAGTAGGCCTACTACCAAACAAAGTAGGCATTTTCTTTGTGCCACTGCATCTCACAAATAAACAAGGACATTTAATAATCAGACCCTGCAATAAAATAAATCAAGTTTCACTTTAGTTTTTCAAGTAACTCAACTCAAACTCACTAGTCACTCACTCAGCATCATCAGACAGGTTTTTAGGAATATGAGAATGTCCACATTTCCAGGTATTTATAAGCTGGGATGTTTGGGCATTTACAATATCCCCTGCTCTGGAAAAAACTCTCTCGCTTGGTACTGATGTTGCTGGGACAGCAGTGGTCGCGTTAACCGAATATTTTATTTAACAATGATGGCAAAATCTGAAAGCAGTCAACGTTTCCCCGCAACGAGGCTCTGGTGTTATGCCGTGTTATGCATGCCCTCCAAAAGGAAATTATATAGTTTCCAAACCGTACTTTGCCGTACAGATCAATACATGTCTGGGAGTTTTTTGCTTTACGCTGTGTGCGCTCCCGCGAGGTGCATGCACACACGGCATAACGCCGCCCCCCGTTGACAGTTCACGAGCGTGCTCTCTCTCTCTGTTCAGACCCGACGGGTAATAAGGGATTATGACGGACATTTTACGATCCTGTCTGTCAAAATGACGGACAGCGAAAAAGTCTAACGCCACCTCAGTGGGACGGAGAGATATGCTTTGGCCATGGGTGACAGCAGTGGGTCAAACTGTGCATTGTCTCTCCACCACTTCAAAAACAATACCGTTTTTGCCAAGAAGGTGAGGCTTATTGACAGGGCGAGATATAAATATACTGTTGGTACTGTCAATGTCTCTAGGTGTGTAAATGTAGCCCTGTAAATACGATGTCCTTTTGTGTTATCTGTTGTTTTATGTTCATGTTGTAACCTACTTGCTGCCATGTTGGATAGGTCTCTCTTGAAAAAGAGATCGATGATCTCAATGGGACCACCTGGTTAAATAAAGGTTTAAAACAAAAAAAAGTGTTTTAAAAAAAATAAAAAAAATCGCGGTAGATTTTGTCAGTCTCACGACGGTATTGGGACGTTTATTTACCGCAATATTCGGTATATCGTTACATCCCTAGTAATTTAGGAGCGGCATTTCAAAACCGTGCACAAACGCTACGAGACGGAATTCCCTCCTAATTCTGCCCTACGCTCCCAAAAGGGGAGGGACCTGAAAGGACAGCTAAATGCACAGCAGTACATTTCCACCAGGCCCAACAACAAGAGCAAGGCTGCTACCATAGCATCTTATCGTGTCAGTCACGTTCTTGCGAAACACATGAAGTCTTTCAAAGACGGCGAAGTTGTGAAAGAAGCATTCCTGGAGGCTGCCGACGCGCTTTTGGGGGACAGTAAAAATAACAGTAGCATTTCAACAGGTTTTTGATATAATAAAAACTCAAGTTAGATACCGTTATTAATCAGCTGTAAGTTTTTGTTTGTTCGAACTTATTCATTATAATTATTGTACAAAATGGTATAAGAATGCAAACTTAAATTGATTATAGTCTATTATCAATTCAGCCAGAAGCTAGTGTTGCTTGCATCCTATTTTAAAGGCATTTCTTTTTATACTCTACTAAAATGCAACAAAAAAAGGGTTTGATTCTATTAATTTTGTCTTTTTTATTGCACTTTGGCAGCAGATTCCTGTGTAGCTTCAGATCCGAGTTGTCTTATTAGTAAGCCTAATTTATACTTTTGTAGCAACACTATTTTTATATAATGGCAAAGAAAGGGTTCACAGTCTTTTCTTTTTTTCCTGTGTCATATGTGGCAGCACTGTTCAATGTTTCTTGAAAACATTACCCACTGTAGTATGTGACGTGTGAATAAACTCCAACTCTGTATCAACAACACTGTTGTGTAGCTTCAGTTAAATACTTGTATGTGTGTAGATTAGAAAGAGTTAAGATAAAGGATCTGCAGTATTTTATGAAGTATTAATTGTACAAAGGTCCGTTTTATACAAGTAGAAGTGTGTATTTACCTGGTAGTAGGCTACGCCTCTCTATTTGGACTGGTAGATCTCGGCAGACTGGCAACTTTAAAAGTAGCTCTCGGTTCAAAAAAGGTTGGACACCCCTGTTATACAGCAATAAATAGGTACAAATGTGTGTATTTCCATATACAGTGGTGCATAAACAGTATTTCAATTCTGTAGAGCAACTATGAGAGACAGAATGGGGGGAAAGAATCCAGGAAATCATATTGTAGGATTTTTAATGAATTAATTACATTACATTGCATTTAGCTGACGCTTTTATCCAAAGTGACTTACAATAAGTACATTCGACCAGGAAGACACAACCTTGAAGAAAACAGAATCATATAAGTACATCAGGTTTCATAGAGCCAAACATTTCAAGTGCTACTCAACTGGCTATAGATAAGCCAGTCCTTTATTAGTATATAAGTGCTTTGTTAATAATTCTATCGCTCGAAGTGGAGTCGAAAGAGATGAGTTTTCAGTCTGCGCCGGAAGATGTGCAAGCTATCTGCTCTCCTGATGTCAATGGGGAGCTCATTCCACCATCTTGGAGCCAGGATAGCAAACCCACGTGTTTTTGCTGATGGGAACTTGGGTCCCCCTCGCAGCGAGGGTGCAGCGAGTCGTTTGGCTGATGCAGAGCGTAGTGCACGCGCTGGGGTGTACAGTTTAACCATGTCCTGGATGTACGAAGGGCCAGATCCATTCGCAGCATGGTAAGCAAGTACCAGTGTCTTGAAGTGGATTCTAGCAGTTACCGGAAGCCAGTGAAGGGAGCGGAAGAGCGGAGTGGTGTGGGAAAATGTAGGACGGTTGAAGACCAGACGAGCCGCTGCATTCTGGGTGAGCTGCAGAGGTCGGATGGCACATGCAGGTAGACCAGTTTGTTGCAGTAGTCTAGGCGTGAGATGACGAGAGCCTGGACCAGAAGCTGCGTTTCTTTCTGTGTCAGCTGGGGACGTATCTTCCTGATGTTGTAAAGCGTGTATCTGCAGCAACGGGTTGTAGCAGCGATGTTTTCAGTGAAGGACAGGTTGTTATCTAGGATCACACCCAGATTCCTTGCAGTCTGAGTCGGGGAAACAACACAGGTGCCGATGTTGATAGTCAGGTCAAGAGTGGGACAATCTTTTCCCGGAAGGAAAAGCAGCTCAGTCTTGTCAAGGTTGAGCTTGAGGTGATGAGCAGACATCCACTGAGAGATGTCAGCTAGACAAGCAGAGATGCGTGCGACGACCTGGGTCTCTGAGCGGGGAAAGGACAGAATTAATTGGGTGTCGTCAGCGTAGCAGTGGTATGAAAAACCATGCGGGCTAATGACTGATCCGAGCGAGTTTGTGTACAGGGAGAAGAGGAGGGGACCAAGAACAGAGCCCTGAGGGACCCCTGTAGTTAATTGACAAGGGTCGGACTCGGACCCTCTCCAAGTTACCCTGTAGGTACGGTCTTTGAGGTATGAGGTGAGGAGGGAAAGTGCAGAGCCTGAAACTCCAAGTTTTTGGAGAGTGCGAAGGAGGATCTGATGGTTCACCGTAGGGCTGTGCAATTAATCGTATTTTAATCGCGATTACGATTATGGTTTGCGACGATTATGAAAACAGCATAATTGACAAAATACGATTATTTTGCTGGGTGCGCTTTCGCCCCTCCCTAAATGCCCACTCGGCCACGTGGGAGTGACATGTGTTGTGAGTGTTCAGCGCGAGCGAATATGTCAGATCAAGTGCAGCAACTCGTTAAAAAGAAGGGTACAACTATTTCCACTATTTGGAAGTACTTTGGCTTTCAGGAGTCCGACATGGAGCAAAACAAAGTATAGTGCAGGATTTGTTACCAGGTTGTGTTGGCACCACACGCTAACACAACCAATCTCTTTAATCAGCTGAAATACAACCACAAAGTGCAATACGACCGGGCAGTAATACAACAAAAAGCAGATGCCCGCTCGATTTCATCCACCACATCATCACAGGCATCGATTCTGGACACATTGTACAGAGCAACGGCCTACGCGACGAGCTCGCAGAGACACAAGAGATATTACAGGTGCCATTACATTTCACATCGCTAAAGATATGTGCCCAGTTAGCACTGTTAGCAACCAGGGCTTTAAGCAACTTGTCAACACGTTGGACAAGCGTTACGCGATGCCGTCTCGGTATTATTTCAGCAGGTCTGCGCTGCCTGCGCTATATGCCGTGGGGAAGTTGAGAGAGATGTGGCTTCAGCTGACTACTTTGCTACCACAACAGACCTATGGTCTAGCCCAGGGGTGCCCAACCAGTCGATCGCGAGATGTGTCTAAAAATAGAACAACAATATTCTGTTTTATCGTTAATGTCCTGTAACATAATCTTCCTGTGCCAGAATAATGCACTTGAACGCATCAAAGCTTTGTGATTGGCCGGCGTCACCCCATGTGTCGGGGCGTGGCTGAGGGTCTTCAGTACAGGTGGCAATATTGTCACCTGCCTGCGCTCATCTCTGAAACCAGACCATGTAAACGGGCTGGTGTTTCTTGCGAACAATCTTTAAGAGATGACATGAGCAGCCCTACCAGCATTTGCCATGGTGGCCTAAACATTTTTATTTGGTCTTAAATTGTAGTTCAACATTTATTTCCTGTTACTTCTGGACCATGACGGTTGGCCAGCCTTCAACGTTTAACTGAGTGGAATATGTTGAATATGTTTTACCAAAATGTTGGCTATATGTTAAGGAGTTTTCAGTAGGTTGTGACAGTGCACTGCAACATGTTTGATTTCATTTATTTTGGTCTAATTTATTTTTATTTATCATATTAATAATATATGTTTAGTATGGTTTTGGAAGTGCGCTCCAACATATTTGTTGATCTTGTTTATTGGTCAAATATTATTTGTTTTAAAGTTCAATAAATGGTCAATGAATAATCGTCAAAATAATCGTGATATCAATTATTGACCCAAATAATCGTGATTATGATTTTTGCCATAATCGCACAGCCCTAGTTCACCGTGTCGAATGCAGCAGACAGGTCCAACAGGATGATGACAGGAGAGGGATGCTGCTTTGGCAGTGTGCAGTTCCTCAGTGACAGCAATGAGAGCAGTTTCTGTGGAGTGACCTGCCTTGAAACCAGACTGGTGCGGATCCAGAAGGTTGTTCTGATGGAGATAACAGGAGAGTTGTTTAAAGACAGCGCGTTCAAGTGTTTTAGACAGGAACGGGAGTAGAGAGACAGGCCTGTAGTTTATAACATCAGACGGGTTGAGAGTGGGTTTCTTTAGGAGAGGGTTTACTCTTGCCTCCTTGAGACTGTTTGGAAAGTGACCAGAAGTTAGAGAAGTGTTGATGAAATGGGAGAGAAACGGTAGAATATCAGGAGCGATAGTCTGAAGGAGGTTTGAAGGGATAGGGTCCAGAGGACAGGTGGTAGGGCGGGCAGACGTAATGAGGGTAAGAACCTCACTTGGAGAGAATTGGTAAATTCCTCGGTAAAATAAGTATTTGGTCACCTACAAACAAACAAGATTTCTGGCTCTCACAGACCTGTAACTTCTTCTTTAAGAGCCTCCTCTGTCCTCCACTTGTTAACTGTATTAATGGCACCTGTTTGAACTCGTTGTCAGTATAAAAGACACCTGTCCACAACCTCAAACAATCACACTCCAAACTCCACTATGGCCAAGACCAAAGAGCTGTCAAAGGACACGAGAAACAAAATTGTAGACCTGCACCGGGCTGGGAAGACCGAATCTGCAATAGGTAAACAGCTTGGTGTGAAGAAATTAACTGTGGGAGCAATTATTATAAAATGGAAGACATACAAGACCACTGATAATCTCCCTCGATCTGGGGCTCCACGCAAGATCTCACCCCGTGGGGTCAAAAATGATCACAAGAACGGTGAGCAAAAATCCCAGAACCACACGGGGGGACCTAGTCAATGACCTGCAGAGAGCTGGGACCAAAGTAACAAAGGCTACCATCAGTAACACACTACGCCGCCAGGGACTCAAATCCTGCAGTGCCAGACGTGTCCCCCTGCTTAAGCCAGTACATGTCCAGGCCCGTCTGAAGTTTGCTAGAGAGCATTTAGATGATCCAGAAGAGGATTGGGAGAATGTCATATGGTCAGATGAAACCAAAATAGAACTTTTTGGTAAAAACTCAACTAGACGTGTTTGGAGGAGAAAGAATGCTGAGTTGCATCCAAAGAACACCATACCTACTGTGAAACATGGGGGTGGAAACATCATGCTTTGGGGCTGTTTTTATGCAAAGGGACCAGGACGACTGATCCGTGTAAAGGAAAGAATGAATGGGGCTATGTATCGTGAGATTTTGAGTGACAACCTCCTTCCATCAGCAAGGGCATTGAAGATGAAACGTGGCTGGGTCTTTCAGCATGACAATGATCCCAAACACACCGCCCGGGAAACGTAGGAGTGGCTTCGTTAGAACAATTTCAAGGTCCTGGAGTGGCCTAGCCAGTCTCCAGATCTCAACCGCATAGAAAATCTTTGGAGGGAGTTGAAAGTCTGTGTTGCCCAGCGACAGCCCCAAAACATCACTGCTCTAGAGGAGATCTGCATGGAGGAATGGGCCAAAATACCAGCAACAGTGTGTGAAAACCTTGTGAAGACTTAAAGAAAACGTTTGACCTCTGTCATTTCCAACAAAGGGTATATAACAAAGTATTGAGATGAACTTTTGTTATTGACCAAATACTTATTTTCCACCATAATTTGCAAATAAATTCTTTAAAAATCAGACAATGTGATTTTCTGGATTGTTTTTTCTAATTTTGTCTCTCATAGTTGAGGTATACCTAGGATGAAAATTACAGGCCTCTCTCATCTTTTTAAGTGGGAGAACTTGCACAATTGGTGGCTGACTAAATACTTTTGTGCCCCACTGTATATATTTTTTCTCCTGCCATGTTTCAGGTTGCAGACGGAGGAGATGCGGAGGACGCGTCTCTGCAGCCGCTGCAGCAGAAGTACGTGTTTTCCTTTCATTATAATACTTAAATAAGAGGCATTATTTCCCATGATGCAGTGGGGGAGCATGTGTTGATGTGTGTGTGCGTGCGCTTCAGGCTGCTGGAGGAGATCCTGCGTTACATCAACAGCGTCGCTCGCTGTGTGGAGAATAACGCAGATAAACCCACTGGCAAGTTCTGGAGGGTTCTTCTGAACAAGGCCTACGACCTGCTGGATAAGGTAAACACCAATAATACTTTATTATTATAAAGGAATAACAATAATAATTCTTATTATTATAAAGTAACAAAGTACATTTACTCAAGTACTGTACGTATTAGAGATCTGAGTACTTTTACTCAAGTACACAATCGGAGTACTTCTACTTTTCCTCAAGAACAAGACCTGAGTTCTTCTACTTTTAATCAAGTACCAGATCTGAGTACTTCTACTCTTACTCAAGAACCAGATCTGAGTACTTCTACTATAACTCAAGTACAATATCCGAGTACTTCTACTATAACTCAAGTACAAGATCTCAGTACTTCTACTATAACTCAAGTACAAGATCTCAGTACTTCTACTATAACTCAAGTACAAAATCTGAGTACTTCTACTATAAATCAAGTACAATATCTGAGTACTTCTACTTTTACTCAAGTAGTACTTCCAGTACTTCTCCCCCCCTGATGCTAGTGGCCGTTAGCATCCGAGCTAACGCTGTGTGTGTCCCCAGGTGAACTCCCTGTTGCCCACGGATACGTTCATCACGGTGATGAAGGGGCTGATGGGTAATCGCCTGCCATCCGTCAGGAGGAAGGCAATGGAGCTGCTGAACAACAAACTGCAGCACCGCACGCAGTGGGACGAGCAGCAGGTACATATACATATTTACAGACACAGATATGAGATTACTTTTTGGGAACCAAGTTAAAAAAAAGATATGTCAGATTTTGAAGTTAATGCTTTAAAACCAACCCAAACATTTTATAAAAAAAGACACGTTCATTTATTCTCTGGTTATTAAAGTGTCTCTCCTCCGTGTCTCAGGTCACTGTGCTGCTGCAGCTGATCGACGACCTGCTGTGCATTGTGGGTAAGCAGCAGGAACAGCCTGAGCAAGAGCAGGAACAGCCTGAGCAGCAGCAGGAACAGCCTGAGCAGGAGACGGCCATCAACCGGCAGACGGCGCTGTTCAGCCTGAAGCTGCTGTGCCGCAATTTGGGCTCCGGCCACCAGGGGGCGTTCTCCCCAGTTCTGCAGAGGGCGGTGAATCTGGTGGAGGAACCAACAGAGGAGAAGAACGTTACAGGCAGCGCCATGCTGCTCATCGCCGAGGCCGTCAGCACGCTGAAGGCCCTCGCCATCCCTCAGCTGCCACGGTAACCTGCACACATTTACCATTATTGTTATTATTATTATTTTTGTTATTAATGAAGGCCCTCACCACATCATTACTGGACTTAAACTCCCACTGTACATTTTACATTTATATTCAATCTAATATTTAATATTCCATTCCTTGTACAATTAATGTACATATAATATCCTGCTTTATATTTTGTTACTGTAAATTTGTATTTCCACATGTATATTTTCCACACTTTTTTTAATGCTATTTTATTTCTATTTGAGATGTACATTTTGGATTGTTTGTTTCTTGTCTGTTTATTTCTATAATATACAATGCCTTGTCTTTTTATGCTGCTGCAACGCAAACATTTCCGAAATTGGGATCAATAAAGTACTTATCTTATTATTGTGAATGATGTTGCAGCTTGATGCCGGCGGTGCTGCTCGTTCTCTCAGACAGGAAGCAGCTGCTGACCAATGAGATCCTCCTGCTGAGCGCGGTCACCGCCCTGCAGCGAATCACAGAGACGCTGCCACACTTCTTCAGCCCCTACCTGCAGGAAACCATCACACAGGTAACACATGCACACATACACACACACACCCACAGGAAACCATCACACAGGTAACACACACACACACACACACCTGCAGGAAACCATCACAAAGGTAACACACACACATCTGCAGGAAACCACCACAAAGGTAACAAACACACACATCTGCAGGAAACCACCACAAAGGTAACACGCACACACATCTGCAGGAAACCACCACAAAGGTAACACACACACATCTGCAGGAAACCACCACAAAGGTAACACACACACACATCTGCAGGAAACCACCACACAGGTAACACACACCTGCAGGAAACCACCACACTGGTAACACACACACATCTGCAGGAAACCATCATACAGGTAACACACACACACCTACACACAGCTGCTCACACACAGGTAACACACACACCTACACACAGCTGCTCACACACAGGTAACACACACACCTACACACCAGGGTTTCCGCTAGGATTTCTTCTTGCTGGTCAAGTGTCCGGAAATAATTTATTTTACCGGACAAATTCGAAACTTACCGGTCATGTTTCAATAATAATAATAATAATTGTGTAGCAGAGTTTCCGTTAGCTGGTAATGACCGGTAATGTATGCTGATGTTTAAAACTCAGTTAATTTGGCTCATTCAGTTTATAATCGTAACGGATCGAAAAGCTCAGATTCATTTTTCAATAAATGATGCGCTTCCACAAACAAAAAACAACATTTTTACATTCAAACAAACTAGTTATAGTAGATTTTTTTACATTAACTTTGGATAATAACACGGGAGAAATAAACGGAACCCCTCTCCCTCTCCTGACAGCCGGTCCGTCTCATGCAGCTCACTGATCCAGTGATGAGTGACCCGACAGCAGTGTTGTGACTAACGCGTTACAACGCAACTACTTTTTGCGGTAACTAATAGCGTTACTAGTTACTAGGGGTGTAACGGTTCACAAACATTTCGGTTCGGTACGTACCTCGGTTTTTTGGTCACGGTTCGGTTCGGTACGTTTTCGGTACAGCAGAATTTTTTTTCACAGAACAAAACATATATATATATATTTTTTTAATTATTATTAAACTGTGAATAATGTATTCACTCAAATAAATACAAAATATAATAAAATAAACATTAAGGTGCAGCATTTCGATGAACTGAAATAATCTGTATTTGAACTTTACTGTAGGCTACTATACTCACAAAACATAAACTATTAGTTTTGGGTTTTTAATTATTATTAAACTGTGAATATTCACTCAAATAAATACAAAATATAATAAAATAAACATTAAGGTGCAGCTTTTCGATGAACTGAAATAATCTGTATTTGAACTGTACTGTACTAGCACCTAAGCAGCCAGTTTGACATTATGACTTGCTTGTCATTGTATTTTCATGTTTTTTTAAAGAAAAATGAACTTGTCCACATTGCTTGCTGAAAGGGCAGATCTGCTGGCACTAACAATGTCTCCTGCTGTGGAGAACACCCCCTCTCTAGGGACAGAGGTAGCAGATACAGCCAGGTAGCGCTTTGCTAACATGGCAACATAAGGATATTTGGCGTTTGTAATAGCTTTGGCTCGGTCTGATCTTTTTGCGAGTGGTGGAGGCTTACATGCTAGCGGGAGTTGGGTTTGCACTTCAGTCTTTTTTCTTTTGGTACCGCCGGTGATATTCACGTTCGGGTGATGCCTTTTCAAGAGTGTGCAAGTTTGATGTATTGCCAGCCGCGTAACTAATTTTAGTTGAACAATGCCGACAAACAGCTTTGGTTCGGTCCACCTGTCTTTGTCCTTCATCCTTGTACGTAACTACGAAACCAAAATGTTCCCAAACCGGAGACTTCAATGATGCTGGAGGATTTTCGAGCTCAACTTTATCTGCGTTCGCCATTAATTTTCGATAGTTCCTCAAATTACTGACTACATTTGAACGCATCCCTCTGACCAGCTCTCATAGTATGCCTCTCATCCAATGAAATGACTTGCTCGCTCTATGACGCGTTGAACCCAATGTGACCAAATTACTCTGAATGCTGCGACGCAGCACCTGAGATTACTTCCAAAAAGTTGTTCACGTTCTCAATTTTTTACGTTTAACGTTATATTCGTTCGGTACACTTCGGTACACACCTGTACCGAACCGAAGGGCCCGTACCGAATAATTTCGGTACGGGTACGTGTACCGTTACACCCCTACTAGTTACCTATTCCCATTAAGTAACGCCATTATAGTTACTGTGATTTAAATGGGTGCGTTACTGCGTTACATTATGTGATGGAACTGAACCGAATCTCCCTGTGGATGTAACTTACAGGCGAATACAGCGATGTCCTCTCACAGCACCATGGAAAAGTGAAAGTAACCAGAGAGGAGTGATGATTGGTTAAGCGGGGTAACATTTCAGGGTAAGACAATCCGACACAGAGTTGGTCGGGTCTTGCCTTATGGGGAAAATACACACACACGAACACTTGCTAATGCTAACACACACGGCAACGCTCACCACCAGCACACACACACACAATGGCAGATGCAAGTATCAGCGAGAGCAGCAGCGCATTTGCAACTTGGAAATATAACCACTATTTTCAATTTGTGGGGATAAAGGACGCACAAAATATTATGGTCAAATGTAAACTGTGTGCAGGACAGATAGCATTGTCCACATCAAAAAACAGCAATGCCAATCTCCTGAAGCACCTAAGTAATGTACATGGGGCTATAAAACTAGTCGCCAAAGACCCCACCGTCTCAACCACTGGCAGTGACCCAGATGGAGCAACACCATCTAAACAGCCAAAAAACGATTTTTTTAAATCGCTACATGTCACCCAGAGTCAACTAAACAGATTGATTGCCGGGTATGTTGTTGAGGACATGCTGCCCATCGCAACGGTCGAGTCTGTTGCCTTCAGAGAACTAGTCAGCAAAATACCAGTGAAAGCATTTAATTTTCAATTTTATTGTTATTAATTTTAAAGTAAAGTAACTTGTTACAAGTTCAGGGATGCAAACTTGTCGCCTTTCGGCGAAATTCGCCATTTTGAATCCAAAATAGGTCGTTTGTGTGATTCATGTAGATCTGCAATAAAAATATTTTTGGGGTATGGGGGGGGTCTGGGACCCGGAGTAATCTTCGGCCGCGAGCTGTTATGTGCCATCATACACCCATGGTGTTCTTTTTTTATTATAATGAAGTGCGAGCTGTGTGCTCGAGTCTTCCTGCCCGTCGGCTCTGCTCATGAATGTATTATAAGGCTCTGCTGCTCCGCGATGAGGGTCTAGCTTCAGCAGCTACATTACCTACGGGTGCGTTCGTTAATATTAACTGTGTGGTCCGGATTGGACCACACAGTGGTGAACAGCTGTTAGAACGGGCCGTTCAGGTGTTCAGAGCAGAGCTCCCTGTCGGAGCGTGATGTTGAAGTTTTTCTGTCGCAATATTATTTAATGAATCGTTGAGCTAGCTAACTAGCATACATTGTCACTATCTGCTAACGTTAGCTTTAGCCTTCGTTTTCTAATAGTTTTTTTCATAGGCTATAAACAGAGGTGGTATACGTATAGATATTGTACTTGAGTAATAGAAGCACTCAGATCTTGTACTAGAGTAAAAGTAGAAGTACTCAGATCTTGTACTAGAGTAAAAGTAGAAGTACTAAGATCTTGTACTTGAGTAAAAGTAGAAGTACTCCGATCTTGTACTTGAGTAAAAGTAGAAGTACCAGAGTGTAGGAATACTCTGTTACAGTAAAAGTCCTGCATTCAAAATGTTCCTCAATTAAAAGTAGAAAAGTATTATCACCAAAATATAGTGAAAGTAGCAAAAGTAAAAGTAGTCGTTGTGCAGATTGGTCCATTTCAGAATGTTTTATAAAGATTGATCATTAAAGTGTTCTCAAAGCTGGTAAAGGTGCAGCTAGTTTGAATTACTTTGTATACTGCAGGGTAGCTTGTGAATTTACTCCAGGTGGAACTAAAGTCTGATTTAACACTTGATTATATTTCACATCATTCATCCACATCTGTAGAGTAACTAAAGGGATTAAATACATGTAGTGGAGGAAAAGTACACCATGTACCTCTGAACTGTAGGGGAAAAGTACACCACGTAGGCCTACCTCCGAACTGTAGAGGAGAAGAAGAACAAAGTAGCAAAACATTGAAGTATCTCAAAATTGTACCCAAGTATAGTACTTGTTGAGTTGATGAATTTAGTTACTTTACACCACTGGCTATACAGATAAGCCAGACTAAGCCTTGAACAGAGGCATGAAAATACATTTTCAAAATGCTCAACAGTGCTGCCAAAATGATAAACTGACTGCTCCACAATTAAAATAAATGCTTTTATATATTTCTATTAGATGTGACTCTTTAACGTTTCTGTCATTATTAACTGCTGCTTTACATTACATTACATTACATTGCATTTAGCTGACGCTTTTATCCAAAGCGACTTACAATAAGTACATTCGACCAGGAAGACACAACCTTGAAGAAAACAGAATCATATAAGTACATCAGGTTTCATAGAGCCAAACATTTCAAGTGCTACTCAACTGGCTTTAGGTAAGCCAGTCCTTTATTAGTATAAAAGTGCTTCGTTAATAGTTCTAACGCTCGAAGTGGAGTCGAAAGAGATGAGTTTTCAGTTTGCGCCGGAAGATGTGCAAGCTATCTGCCGTCCTGATGTCAATGGGGAGCTCATTCCACCATCTTGGAGCCAGGACAGCAAACCCACGTGTTTTCGCCGATGGGAACTTGGGTCCCCCTCGCAGCGAGGGCGCAACGAGTCGTTTGGCTGATGCAGAGCGTAGTGCACGCGCTGGGGTGTACGGTTTAACCATGTCCTGGATGTAGGAAGGGCCAGATCCATTCGCAGCATGGTAAGCAAGTACCAGTGTCTTGAAGTGGATTCTAGCAGTTACCGGAAGCCAGTGAAGGGAGCGGAGGAGCGGAGTGGTGTGGGAGAATTTAGGAAGGTTGAAGACCAGACGAGACGCTGCATTCTGGATGAGCTGCAGAGGTCGGATGGCACATGCAGGTAGACCAGCCAGGAGGGAGTTGCAGTAGTCTAGGCGTGAGATGACGAGAGCCTGGACCAGAACCTGAGTCGCTTTCTGAGTCAGCTGGGGACGTATCTTCCTGATGTTGTAAAGCGTGTATCTGCAGCAACGGGTTGTAGCAGCGATGTTTGCAGTGAAGGACAGGTTGTTATCTAGGGTCACACCCAGATTCCTTGCAGTCTGAGTCGGGGAAACAACTGAGGTGCCGATGTTGATTGTTAGGTCAAGAGTGGGACAATCTTTTCCCGGGAGGAAGAGCAGCTCAGTCTTGTCAAGGTTGAGCTTGAGGTGGTGAGCAGACATCCACTGAGAGATGTCAGCTAGACAAGCAGAGATGCGTGCAACGACCTGGGTCTCTGAGCGGGGAAAGGACAGAATTAATTGGGTGTCATCAGCGTAGCAGTGGTAAGAAAAACCATGCGGGCTAATGACTGATCCGAGCGAGTTTGTGTACAGGGAGGAGAGGAGGGGACCAAGAACAGAGCCCTGAGGGACCCCCGTAGTTAATTGACAAGGGTCGGACTCAGACCCTCTCCAAGTCACCCTGTAGGTACGGTCTTTCAGGTATGAGGTGAGGAGGGAAAGTGCAGAGCCTGAAACTCCAAGTTTTTGGAGAGTGCGAAGGAGGATCTGATGATTCACCGTGTCGAATGCAGCAGACAGGTCCAATAGGATGATGACAGAGGAGAGGGATGCAGTTTTGGCAGTGTGCAGTTCCTCCGTGACAGCAATGAGAGCAGTTTCTGTGGAGTGACCTGCCTTGAAACCAGACTGGTGCGGATCCAGAAGGTTGTTCTGATTGAGATAACAGGAGAGTTGTTTAAAGACAGCGTGTTCAAGTGATTTAGACAGGAACGGGAGGAGAGAGACAGGCCTGTAGTTTATAACATCAGACGGGTTGAGAGTGGGTTTCTTTAGGAGAGGGTTTACTCTTGCCTCCTTGAGACTGTTTGGAAAGTGACCAGAAGTTAAAGAAGTGTTGATGAAATGGGCTTTAGTTGTTCTGACTGCTAACATCCTCTGTTATTCCTCATTTTAAAGCCGATATTCTGTGAGGTCGGGGGATCGGATCCTTGTCACCTTTTTCATACCTGATGAGTTTGCATCCCTGCAAGTTACTTTTATAATTTAGTAACTAATAAAGTAACTAGAGCTATAACTATTACTAGTTACTTTTTAAAAGTAACTTTCCCAATACTGCCCGACAGTGAAGAATAAACATATGTATAACTAGTTTAGGTTGTTCCAGAGGTAGATAAAATAGCTAAGTGTGTTAGGTCTAACTTGAAGTGTGTGTTTTGATCCGCTCACCGCTCACAGCTGGCGGAGCTGCCGGTGATCTTGCAGAGCTGTGTGTTCTCCGTCAGCAGCAGCTGAACCTGATCTCTCTCTTTCTGCTTCACACACGTTGCATATAGCAATTTTATTGTCTTTTTCGGACACCTTGAAAAACTGCCACACCGTGGAAGCCATTTTGACGAGCTTCTTTTGCCACGCACACAGAGAAAAGTCTCATGTATTTTTTAATCATCTGATCGGCTCTCCTGATCGGCCTTTATAGAGAGCACCGATCAAACTATTAAGAGTGAATATCGGCCTATAATGATTGGCAGCCAATCGATCGGATCATCCCTAAATATTACCAGACATTTTGACCGGCAGGTTTTGAATTTACCGGTTTTTAATATATTTTACCAGCTTAAAACCGGTAATTACCGACTAAAGGCAGCTACACACCAACCTGAGACCAAAGAACGCGTACCGCAGGCGTCCCGACTTTTACGTCTGCTACGCCCCCCGCCTACGCCGCTCGCCTACGAACACACCGCAAAGACTTCAGTCGACGAGTGGCAATAACTGTCCTTACCAGCAGGCAGCGGTAGTGTGTATTCGTCATTCAAAAGAGGCAACAGCCAATCAGAGTGATTTCTTTGGCCGACTTTCTTTGGCCGATTCAACATGTTGAATCGGCCGCGGGAGGTGTGAAAATGTGCCGTAAAGCAACGGCGGTGCGGGACACACCAACCTGAGTAGGGCGCCGTGAGTGCCCGATTGCCTCTGACGGCCTCTGACTCCCAAAATCGGGTAGGTGTGTCAGGGCCTTAACGTAAACCCTGCTACACACAGCTGCTCACACACAGGTAACACACATCTGCAGACTTTGTTTTTGTTTTTTTGTTGTGTTTTCTAAAGGTATATTTTCCTCTTCCTGCAGGTGTGTAGTCTGACTCGTCTGGTGGAGTCTTCCTCTTCCTCCTCGTCTTCCTCGGCCGGCGCTCAGCTCTCCTCCCGTCTCTCCTCCCTCCGGGCGACCCTCGCCACCAAACTGCCCCCCCGAGTCCTGCTGCCCACCCTCACCAAGTGCTACAGCAGCATGGTTCTCGACAGACAGGTAGATATTGATAACGGAAAGATATATATTATTAATGATGTTTTAGTATTTATTAGTATGAATTATTATGTAGTATTATTTATTTGTGTTAATAATAATTATTAATTATTATTAGGATGAATTATTGTTTATTATTAATTAATTATGTTTTGATGCTGTGTGTTTCAGGGCCAGCTTGGGGCGCTGCTGAGCATCCTGCAGGAGCACATTGGTCACATGGAGAGGGAGCATCTGAGCCACCACCAATCAGAGCTCACCTCCTTCTTCCTGTCCGCCCTCGACTTCAGAGCGCAGCACTGCCAGGTAGTAACACATTGAGGGCAAAGCCCTGGAATGGTTCATATCTGAATGATAGAACTTTCTGTGTCAGCCTTGGTGACTCTTGAGTTATCCTGTCCGACATAGCTCAGTCTTGGGGCCCCCTGTTATTTTCCCTTTATTTGCTCCCTCTTGGGTCCATACTTAGAAAGCACGGCATCGCATTCCACTACTATGCTGATGATAGCCAGATGTTATCCCATTGTCTAGAGGTAAAACTAAATGAAGGACAAACAGAAATAATGGTTCTATTTCGTCCCTACTGACCGCCAGAGGCGATGCTTTAGCACTGGATATGTCCATCGCGCGCATTTGCGCAGTTTGAGTACCTAATAACAACAAAGTCACCTGTGACCCACGTGACGACGGCTACATAGCTCCTTTTCATCTTCTCGCTTCGCGAGAGTACCGCGGCCACATTCTTGTAGCCTACAGCGTTCAGGTTTGAACGTTTGATCTGAGGGATTTCTCTGCGTGCAGCTGGCCGCGTGCAGCTTCGCGACTGACAGTCGGAGCTACGGGTTGTTAACACGTCCTCCAGGAGCTGTGGCCGGCTGTGCGCTGTGCAGAGCCTCGACGAACAGGTTTGTGTCAACTTGTTGCTGGTGATGGTTGTGTCCCCGCACCCTCTCCCAGCTAAGTTTTCCTGATTGCTGTCTTGTTTATTGTTTGGCTTAGACTTTCTGGTGACAACAGTGTTCCCGCTTCCTCTCCCATAAAGTTGCCCTTATTATGCTCTTTTGAAAGTTCTGCTTGTGGCGTTGTGCCCGAGCTATCATTAGCATTTCAGTTCCCAGCTTTAGCTGCGTCTCTCATTTAATTTAGTATGGAAAGCCCAGGGTGCCATATTTTGCCCGTTTTTTGTTTAGATGCAGAGAGTAAGGTAAGCACTGGCCATAGTTACTACTGTGGCCATGGCCTACGGTTCTATGCGGGCTGTTCTATTCCATAGAAGCTAATTATCTGGTTTTAACATTTGTGTTTTGACTTGGTCGCTTGGTCTACGCCCCATGCAGATGTGGCTGAACAGCCTTCACTTGGATGCCAAGTGGCACAGGAAAGTTAGGGTGTCGCAGCGTTGCCTCCACTCTCTGTCACGCTGGAGGGGCAGGGCCTATCTCCTGATGGGCGTGCCCATGAGCGCCATCCCATCCCGCCAGGAGACCGTCACCATAGGTGCATGTCTCTCAGGGTGGGGTGCAGTGTGGCAGGGCAGGACCGTTCAGGGTCAGTGGTCTGCCTAGGAGGGTGCACGCCATGTCAACGTGCTAGAGCTTCGGGCTGTGCAGCTTGCACTCACGCACTTTCTACCCCAACTGGAGGGCAAGAATGTGCGTGTTCCTTGGGACAGCATGTACACTGTTGCCCAGACAGCAGTCCCTTCTAGATAGTGGACGTTCTCACTCCACTCTGAATTTATGTGGCTGCTATTTCTGCCCAACATGTTCGGGTCGACGGCGCCACGGCGGGGTGCCACAGGTCGGTGTCCCTCTTCCTGAAGAGGGGCTTTACGGCAGCGTCCCCCTAGCACCCCGAGGGCTCCGGCTTGGGACCTGCCCCTGCTGCCGGATGCCCTATCATCTCCTCCCTTCGAGCCCCTGGCCCAGGTGGGGCTTAGGTGGCTGCCCACAAAGGCAGCATTTCTGCTTGCCATAGCCTCAGGGAAGCGAGTTGGGGAGTTGCATGTCCTCTCCATAAACGATACATGCCCGAGGTGGGTCTCTCAGGTTTTGCCCTTTGGGCAAATGTGGCATTCCTGCCCAGGGTGCTTCCACAAACCCACTTCAATCAGCCTGCCCAGCTGGCACGCTTTGACATTCAGGAGAACGGCACGTCGAAGGTGCTGTGCCCTGTGGGTGCCCAAAGGTCGTATATCGAGGCTACTGCCCGTATACGGCAGTCGGAGCAACTCTTGATTTTGCCATGGCGGCACTAAAGGAGGTTGTGCCCTCTAACCAGTGGCTGCCCCACTGGGTTGTCGATACCATCTAACATGCCTACGGGGCCAGTGGCTGCCCCCTGCCATCTGGGCTGAGATGCCACTCTACAAGGAGCATCTCAACATCTTGGGCTGCCCTGAGAGTGGTGCCCCTGTAGACCATCTGCGCCGCGGCGTTGTGGGCATCTTCTAGCACATTCTCCAGTTGTTATCGGGTTAATGTCACCACTCCCCATTCTTTGGGCGTGGTCCTTTTGCCGTGCTCTGCTGCTTCCAGTAGTGAGCAAGGGCTTGGATTCTTCATGACATGGTTGGTATAAGTCAACCAGCGCTAAAGCACGATAACAATAGTTACGGCTTTAACTACGGTTCTATGAGTCCCGGATGACCGCCAGAGTTTCCTGTCACTCAGAATCAATTCAATTCAATTCAATTCAAAACCTTTATTTATACAGATAAAACCCATTGAGATCATAGACCTCTTTTACAATGGTGACCTGCTTCAATTAGTTCCAAACATTAATACAAACATGACAGAAAACAAAGGACATTATATGATACTACAGTTTGTATACTAGTAGCATTTACAGACACCAATATTTTCTGATTGTATAGCGTCTATCCTAGCTTTAAAAACATGAAATGGAATCAAACTGCTTAGCTTCCATTCCTTTTGTAGACTGTTCCATGCTAGCGGCGCTGCGCATCTAAAAGCTGTATTTCCTAATACAGTCCTAGCAGTTGGCAAATGTAATACAACCACAGCTTTAGATCTCAGGCAGTAGCCATTTACAATACGCTGTGAGATCAGGGAACAGATGTAAGACGGAAGTTTCCCTAACATTGCTTTATAAATAAAAAGATACCAGTGATTTAGCCGCCGTACAGTAAGTGAAAGCAATTCTTGTGTGCTCGCAAGAAGATTCTGGGAGCCAATCCGCTAATGACGCCGGCCTATGTAGCCGTCGTCACGTGGGTCACAGGTGACTTTGTTGTTATTAGGTACTCGAACTGCTAGGGGTGTAACGGTTCACAAATATTTCGGTTCGGTACGTACCTCGGTTTTTAGGTCACGGTTCGGTTCGGTATGTTTTCGGGACAACAGAAAAAATTATATAATATTTCTTGGTTTTTTAAAATTATTATTAAACTGTGAATAATGTATTCACTCAAATAAATACATAATATAATAAAATGAACATTTAAGGTGCAGCATTTCGATGAACTGAAATAATCTGTATTTGTACAGTTCCTCAAATTACTGACTAAATTTGAACGCATCCCTGTGACCAGCTCTCATAGTATGCCTCTCGTCCAATTAAATGACTTGGTCGCTCTGACGCGATGAACCCAATGTGAGCAAATTACTCTGAATGCTGCGACGCAGCACCTGAGATTACTTCCAAAAACTTTTTCACGTTCTCAATTTTTTACGTTTCGGTACACTTCGGTACACCAAAGGGCCCGTACCGAATAATTTCGGTACAGGTACGTACACCGTTACACCCCTACGAACTGTGCATGCGTGCGATGGACATATCCAGTGCTAAAGCACCGCCTCTGGCGGTCATCCGGGACTCATAGAACCGTAGTTACAGCCGTAACTATGGTTTTTGGTGGCATCACTTCTCTACACCAAGCCCACTTTTACGAACCTTGAAATTAAAATGGAGCTTCAACTAAGACTTGAGTCAGATCGAAGCTGTGGTAAAACAAGCTAGATAGCTAGCTAAAATAAAACCTTTTCTCCCCAGACAGCAGTTTGAGATGGTAGTCCACGCCTTCGTCCCTACTTGGCTGGATTACTGCAACTCCTTCCTTGCTCGTCTGCAACTGGGGCAAAATGCAGCAGCAAGGCTTTTAATTGGCACACGTAAATACGAGCACATTTCCGCCATTTTGGCTTCGCTCCATTGGCTGCCCATACATTTTAGGATTCATTTTTTAAATTCTCTTTTTTACTATAATCCCTCAATTGCCTGGCCCCACCCTACCTTTCTGAGCTGCTACACCCTCTCAGGTCAGCTGATCCTCCTGAATGTGCCCAGAACCAGGTCTCAGAGGGTGCTTTCTCTGTAGCGGCTCTCACACTGTGACTATCTGCACATCAGACTGGCCTCCACACTGTCTGCTTTTAAATCGCTTCTGAAATCCCATCTCTTCTCCTTAGCATTTTGACATCTTGTAGATTGTTGCTTCTTATTGCTTTTAAATTGTCTATTGTTTTTACTTGTACTTGTTTTATGGTGTGTGAACTGAGCTATGTGATTTTTTTATTTGTTATGTTTGTTTGTTTATTTGACTGAACAGTACTTTGGTCTGGAGGTTTTAAAGTGCCTTATAAATAAAGCTTTATTGTACTCCTGAGATGAGGATGGTGAGGAGGATAATGATGAAGATGTGTGGAGAGCACATTTTTTTACTTATCATTTTCCACTTCCTGTCCTCAGGGCGACCTCCAGAGGACGTCAGAGGTCGAGGGTCATGTGATCGACTGTCTGCTGGCGATGGTGCTGAAGCTGTCGGAGGTCACCTTCAGACCGCTCTTCTTCAAGGTGAGTCTCTACCTGAGGGCAGAGGTCGTCACTCACACCTTATTGTTGTTGATCATGTGACCTGTGTTGTTGTTTGTGCAGCTGCTGGACTGGAGTAAGACAGGAAGTAAGGAGCGTCTGCTAACGTTCTTCCGGCTGTCCGACGTCCTGGCGGAGAAACTCAAAAGTCTGTTCGTTCTGTTTGCTGGGAATCTGGTGAAGCCCATCGCCGACCTGCTGACCCTCTCCAACTGCTCCCAGACAAGTGAGATATTTATTTATTAATTGATTTAATACAATATAATTTGTTTGATTTGGGTATACTCTTTAATTTACTTTATTTGTATTTTATTTATTTTTGTTTACTATTTTGATTTTAATTTAATTGTATTTGTACATTTTTTTTATTTTTTTTATTATAACCAACTGCTCTCAGACAAGAGAGATCATTATCTATATATTTAATCCAATATCATTTGTTATATTTGGATATACAATTCAACTTAATTCACTTTATTTTAAAATATATTTATTTGTATTTATTTGTTTTCATTTAAAAAAATATATATATTTTTTTTATATTGTTTTAACTTTATTAATTAATTTTTTTCATTGAAATATATTTATTTTATTATATTTGCTTTTATTTGTTTGTCCCTTATTTAAGTTTTTCGTTACATATTTATTTAGTTTTATATTTAGTGTATTTTTAATTTGAATCTTTTCCATTTATTTTGTTTTATTTTACAATCAATTTAATATTTGAACCCTTTGTTTTTTGTGGCCTTTTTTAAACGTATAATTTGGCTATATTTTATTGTACTTTAATTGCTTATTTTGAATAATTATACTCTCTCAGGTGAGCCGCTGTTTGCGTCCCTCAGCAGTCAGAAGGTGTGTCTCCTGCTTCACTTCCTGTTGGATTGTCTCTATAAGATCTGTCTCTACGACACGCAGAGGTTCCTGAGCAGAGAGAGAGCAGACACACTGCTGCAGCCCCTGCTGGACCAGGTACACAAACACACACACACACACCCACTGCTGGACCAGGTACACACTCTTATTTTGAAGTCAGTTATTCATACTTTTATTTTGAAATCAGTTTTTTATACTCTTTTGAAGTCAGTTTTTTCCAACTCTTACCTTTTTATTACAAGTATTTATATGTTCATAATAAATATAGATGTATTTATTGTGTGTGCAGCTAGAGAAAACTCTTATAATGAAGTCAGTTCTTGGACACTTTTATTTTTGAAGACAGCTCTTCATACTCTTATTTTAATTATTAAACTATTTCTATATAATTAAGTATTGTGTGTTTTATGTATTTAGATGGAGAACAGTGTGGGGGGGCAGGAGGCCTCACGTCTCAGGTTGACCCAGAACCTGGTTCCCTGTTTGGGTCAGTTCTCTGTGGCTCTGGCTGACGACTCTCTGTGGAAAACTCTCAACTACCAGATCCTGCTGAAGACCAGACACACACTGCCTGAGGTACACACACACACACACACACACACACACACACACACACACACACACACACACACACACACACACACACACACACACACACACACACACACACTCAGGATTATCCCAGTTTGCTCTTGTTAATATCCAGATCAGGGTGTCCGCGGGGTCTTAACCTGTTCAACCCGGAGGCCCCGTTTTTCACGAAACTGTCTCAGGGCTTCTTAACATTTAAAAACCTATTAATGTGTCATACCAACTTAACGGGAAGAGACTCAGCTAACTGACGATACGAACCATTATGCTTTCACACGAAGCATCTAAATGATCCCTGAGCTAAAAAAATTCTAACACACTTAGCACAGAACTCTTGGTATAAATACCCTTATTACCAGGGTTCGTACGGGTGCTGGAAATCCTTGAAAATGCTTGACATTTTATGAGGTGCAGTCTGTTCTTCCTCTCTCGGTTATCACACAGTCTGTCTTCCGGTTGTTGCTTCTTTTGAATGACGAATACACACTACCGCCGCCTGCTGGTAAGGTATTGCCACTCACGCATGCGTAGTTCGTACGTGCTACTTGGCCGTCGGCTGAAGTCTTTGCGGTGTGTTCCAGTGCGACACATGGCCAAGACGCAAGGCGACACAACAGTCGGGGGTCCGTCTGTGTCAGTTATTTGGTGTCAGCTTGGTGTGTCCGGGCCTTAACGGTTCAAAAGAGGTGTCAATCATCAAAATCGACTGACGGGGGCCAGAGATTTGGAAAATCCACCCAAATGACCCCAGAAGTGTTTTTTTTTCTTCTAAATCTCTTCTTGATACAGGGTACTTATTATATGTTATAGTTTGGATTCCTAAAGCTTTTAGTCTACTATCCCATCATTCAAGGGTGGTTTTCACTATAAGTAATGTTTTTTTTACTATGTTCAATCTGAATTTACTTTAAAATAAAAAAATTCTATATTGATTCTGACTTTTCTACATCCAACTCACAGGTTTATCATTACTTTCACAAAAAAGATTATTAATTTACCCCTTTTAGAAGTGAAGTTATAGTAATTTGTTCTGGGAATGTCATTTTCGAGCCTGAAACCTGAAAAAAAGGATTACAAGTTGATAAATCAATTTAGCAGGCTATTAAAAAGTATTAAACTGCATTTTCCAAGGTATTACATTTTGTAGCTTGTTTTCAATAAGTATATAAATATTACAAAGAGGTTGTATTCTAAAGTTTGCCTGAATGTAATCATTGCGTAGGTGTGTAGTTTATTTATGGCATCCCGTTGGATTTGACGTTATCTGAACAGGACATCGCACGCTCACTACTTGATAGTGCGCGAAGGTCCATTTACGCCGGTTGTTAAACAACATCGTTATTGGGAAATGCAAGTTTGCGTCCAAATGGTTGGAAGATAAGGAGGAAGGACAATCAATACTGTATATAATAAATGTAACCGGTTAAAACTCGAAGTGGCGATGAGGTCTTAAAATGTATGGAAAGGGTCTTAAAAGGTATTAAACTTGACTTCAGGATTCAGATTCAATTTACAATTTTACAAGTTTTTTTCTCATTCAGTTACCATTTTAATCTTTGAGATTATCCACGTTTTTTCTCGTTAATATACCACCCCATTATTAGAGAGAATATTGAAGAATATATACATTTTTTCTTTCCTGAATATTTGAGAGATTTTTTTCCTACGGTCTTTTTCAATTTATTGATTTAATATCGGATTAAATACAAAACATTTCTTTGTGATTTTGTCTTCATGAATTTAGGACTTTGGATCTTTTAAAAATCTTTTTAAATGATCCCCCTTCACCACCATTCATTTGTTGGTATCATCACACACAAACACACTCCGAGGTTTTGTAAATACAACAGGAATCCACTGTGGGTAATACATATAAAACAAAAACAACCTTTTTTGCTAGTAATATTAACTATCAATGCACCAAATGTCATTTAATTTGTTTGAAGTCACTATTGAGGTTTTTAAATGCAGATTTAATATAATTTATAAAACATTGGCGTAGTAGTGGTCCTTAGGTTGATCCCTGTGGAACATCTGATCTGTTGATTTCTCAAAGCTTAATTTGAAGGGAAGTATTTTTACACTGTGTTTTAAGTACTTTTACTGCAGGAAAGGATCCAAATACTCTCCTCCTTTGATAATGTGTATAAATACTCTCTCCTCTGATATTGTGTATAAATACTTCATTATTTCCTGTTTCAGGTGCGTTTCTCCTCTCTGCTGGTGCTGATGGAGTTGGCCTCAAAGCTGAAGGAGAACTACGTCTCGCTGCTGCCGGAAACCATCCCCTTCCTGGCTGAACTCATGGAGGGTGAGCACACACACACACACACACACACACACACACACACACACACACACACACACACACACAGTATTTAAATATATATGGCAGCTTTAGTCCATAGATATTCACTATTAATTCAATTTTTATATAAAAATTATATTATAGCGTACTATTTCATACTTATATTAAAGTGACGTGTGTATTATAATCGCTGTGTGTGTTTCAGATGAGTGTGAGGAGGTGGAGCAGCAGGTTCAGAAAGTGATTCAGGAGATGGAGAACATCCTGGGAGAACCTATGCTCAGCTACTTCTAACATGCACGCACACACTCAATCAGGTGTGGCATTTGTACTTTTTAATCGAATGTTCAAAAAATAAAAACGTTTTTTGTCAGTCTGATTTCTCATGTCTTCATTGTTTCATAAAAAATATAAAACCAGTATTATTATATTAGAAGTGTTTTATTCTCTTACACACTTAATTTATATTGATTAAAGGTCACCTATTATGCAAAATCCACTTTTTCATGTCTTTTTATACATAAACATGGCTTGTGTAACCATTACCCAATAACCAACCAAGGTAACCCCCCCCCACCTTATCACCTGAATCTCCTCCGAGAGCACCTTTGTGTTCTTTTTTTAACCAAATATCTCTCAGAGGGGCTCCTTATTTTCATCTAAAGCAGTGCTTCTCAAAGTGTGGTCCGCGGACCACTGGTGGTCCGTGAGCGCCCCCTAGTGGTCCGTGAGTATATTGGTAACATTTCACATTTGAAATTAATTAATCAATTTAAGTTTTCCGCACTCTCGCGGGAATATCTCCGCAATGGAGCAAGGTTAAGTTTCACTTTTGATTGCAAGATATAGCCCAGCGCAACACCTTCATCACACATGTTGCCACTTGTTTGTACCATTTTCAGGCGATTTGTAATCTGTTCTAGAAAAACGATGTGGTTTTTGATATTTGTGGAGTTAGGTGGTCCGCAAGTGTTTTTTTATTGGTTAAGTGGTCCTTGGTATGAAAAAGTTTGAGAAACACTGATCTAAAGTAACAGACAGAGAATCAGCACTTTGGAAACAATGATCTGTTTGGTGTTTGGAGCCAAACACTTCAGAGACATGTTCTGTATATATCTGAGACCTATAATATATTGATGAAAAACAGTATAATAGGGGGCCTTTAAGTTAACAGTAAATCGTTTTTTGATGTAATTCATGTGTTGATGTGCAGAAGGTTTTAAACATGGCAGAATTTATGCAAAAACAAGCTAAGGGTTTATACATAAAAAATAAAGTATATACATGTATTTCTCTTGTGGGAGTCGTCAGTTATATTTTTACAAGTACTGATTCAATAAATGAAATATAAAACATTTGTTTAAAAAACCAAGGGTTAACCTTAACTCAGTACAGACGCTTTTCTGCTCTTGCCTAAAATTGTTTATCTCTAATAATCTTTTTTCTGACTATAAAGGTTGTGTCTCGTATGTAGGTTCTAACTGTTAGATAAGCTATCTGGCCGTGTGTGGTTTGTGAGGGCTGCGTATTGTTAAAGATTTTAATGGATAACTGATCCGCTTTTCAAATCTCCGCGCGTCCCTATCAAGCTGGTTAATACAGGAAGGAATCCAGAGCTACCAAGTAACCGTTAAACAATAATCTACTTTAATGGTAATATGACAATGCAATACAATCAATACAGTACAAATTCAATACAGTTTATTTTTGGGATCCCGAATTTACCTGCACGTGAGCCAGCCAGAGGAAAAAGACTGAACACCGCGTGTGTGTCTGTGTTTATACTCTTTGACAATGGGAGGAGTTATCAGATCCTCCCATTTGGACTTCCTTGATTGGCAGCCCCAAATATCACAAACACCTCCGACCTTAGGTTTCCCCAACCACTGTAGCTAGATCTAAGTTGAATGCAAATCAAGACATGCTCTCACCTTCCCCCATCTTCCTTTGTCCTCAAAAACACATGTCAACAGGCCCCAAATCCAGCTCACAGTTTTACCCAAATTATTCCCATTTTTAAGCTTATCCATAGTTTGCTAACATGAATAAATACAAATATTTCACTACAGTATAAACTGTTTATGCATATTGGATACAAATCGTTATTGCACCCTTTAGATTTGAGACCGACAGATATATAGAGGAACGGACCGACTGTCACTGCCCGTCCCTGAAACCCCTGTTAGTGTTTGTATGTGTTTGTTTCTACTGTGGCCAGTTCTCATTTCACTAATTCCCCTCCTCGACTCCTATCCTCGAGACTTAGTCCCGCCCACAGGAGATGCGAGTGGAGGAGCCGAGGAGAGAGGAGGGGAAGCAGCAGGCGGTTAGAGAAATTAGAACTCCTCTCCTCTGAGCGGTCATTTTAAAGAGACGTCCATTAAGACAGTCAGGAGGCACAGCAGTCTGATGGACAGATGTGTTCATAACGACTTATATATTTACTTTGATTCATTCACAGTGCGGTATAATGAGAAATAACAGGCTACAGATGCGGGGACACACACTTATGGCGCGTTTCCACTGCAGGCCTTGCTCGGTTTGGTTAGGCCTTATTAGGCCCGGCTCACTTTAATGCTGCGCTTCCATTAGTTTAGGAACTGGGGTAGTTACTGTAGTAACGCAGTGTAGGCGGAGCCGTGACGTCATCTTCAATGAGAGCCCCAAAAAACAACACAGCCGTTAGCACTCAGAGCTCACAGCTCTTCATATCTGTTCAGAAACTAGACAAAAGTTAAACAAGTACAAACCACAGACTGCCTGTGTCATGGCGAATACAGTCGCTGGTTTATTTATGTCTGTATAGGCCGTTGTTGTGAGTGTGGACGGTCGGAGCATATATAACTGAGGTTACCTACTGTAACCCCAGTTTATATGAGTAAATGGCGCAGCCCTCTAAGGCTATCGCTATTGGGTAATCCCCCCGCGCAGCACTGAAAATGTGTAGTCCACGCCCACCCGCAAGGTGGGCCCCACCCTCGGGTCTCCTTCCGGTATAAATAGGAAGGAGGCCCGGCAATCTGCTCCCATACAAAATAACTTTTCTTCAGCTATTTGTAGAGCCAGTGGGGCCCAGCACTTAGAGGGCTGCGCCATTTACTCATAGAAACTGGGGTTACAGTAGGTAATCTCAGTTCCATTTCGTATATGGCGCAGCCCTCTAAGGCTATCGCTATTGGGTTAAGGGCGAAGCATGATGTAGTCTGCGCCCCACTGGGTCCGCCCGGCACTAGAAGCACAGACACACCTGCTCAATAACACCCCCTGCCTGTTGTGCCATGCGTAATGGCGCATCACCATCCCTGGAACATAGCAAAACATGCCTATCTTCCCGAAGGGGTGAAGGCTGGGAAAAATACATACCGGCCGCTGTGAGAAAGTAGAGACGAAGGTCCCACCTTGCCCAGCGATCATAAGGGGGAACAGCAGCTCTCTGCGTGTCAGACAGGTAGGAGAGCGCCCAGCTGGATCCCTGACGTCACTCACTCTGACCAGGCACTCCGTACAATGTGTGTCAGAGGAGAGGCAGGAGCAGTGGCGTTTTTATATGTACAAAAGTGGTGGGGCACAAAAAACTTAGATGTCTATAGCTTCTGCAGTGAGGTTCATGGCTGGTGAGGCACTGGCACTGACTCTTCAGGTTTACAAATATTATATTTTGACCTAAATCAAAAGCCTCTTTAGTCTGATGCTTCAATTAATTTTAAACAGACAGTTCAACAAAAGGATACCCAAAAAATGTAATTTTATCATTTAAATATTGAATTGTTCTCTCTTAGTAAGATCCCATTTTCAATAAAATGGTGGTCTTGACTTGAAGATGAAGTCCATTAGCCTATCCTTCTGGACAAAAATCTCTATTACTTTTTTGTAAAAGTCCTCCTTATGTTCTTGTAGTTTCAAAAGTCTATCATAAATCTAATCTAATCAATAGATTTATGATTCGAAAATTATAAAAGTAGGGTAGACATGTGGATATTATCCGGCTGAACAAAAGGTGCATTTATCTAACAGCTACGTTTCCCACAGACCTTATTTGGAGCTATTTTCTAAAATCCTATGGAGAAATCTCATTGCTTTTTTGTCGAGGGAAGCCATGCCCAACTTACTTCCGGGTTTTAGGACGCCTCACTGCAGCTCTCTCGTGTCCTCTTCACACACCACACTTTTCGCGGCACACGTACTTACAGCCAATCAGCTCTGAATTATGTGAGATGACATATGGTGGGGATGGCAGCACTATGCCCCTATGGTCATTATTTTTTTGCCACACACATTAAATAGGAAAATATTCGGAGCATGCGCAGTGTAGTTTTTACAGTCACCGTTCACTTAGACAGAGAGAGGGAGGGGCAGGATCGGGTTTTGTCCCACATGGCTCTAAACAGCTCAATAGGCACACACTGTAGACACTAATTAGAAGAACACAGACTAAAACAGCAATGTACAGACGAATCAGATGATTAAACATGGATATTTATATATTTTTTAATTTATTTTTTGCATTTTGTTGTAATCATTATTTGTAATACTTTCTGCTGACACTAGGTGGGGCCGTGCAAAGCCGTGGAGAAGGAAATTCCTCTGGTGGAGTGCGCATTGATGTTCTCCGGGGGCTCCACCCCAGAGGAGACATATGCCTGTGACACAGCCTCACACAGCCAGTGTGACAGCCGTTGTGCAGACAGAGGTTGCCCGATCGAGCGCTCTCTATAGTGCACAAACAGGCGCTGAGAAAGGCGCCAAGCCGCCGTGCGCGCCACATAGCAAGACAGCGCGCGCACAGGACAGATGAGACGTGGCTTCTTCCTCTGACCTGTAAGGAGGGGGGAATAAGCCAGCCAGGGTGATCACTCCTGACCTAAAAGAGTTGTGATGACCTTAGGCATGAAGCCGGGTTAGGGCGTAAAACAGCTGAACTGCCATCTCCTTGGATCCGGAGGCATGACGGAGCCACAGAGAGAGCAGACAAATCACTCACCCTTTTCTCTGATAGAGCCACAAGCAGTACTACTTTGGCTGATAACAGTTTAAGGGGAACCTGATCAGGTTCAAATGGGGCTTTGCTTAGTGCGCGTGTTACGTTCCCTATTGGGCTAGGGGAACCAAAGGGAAGCGACACGACCAGAGTGGTATTGGTATTAATTATAAGTGGCTTTATTATAATGCAAAGTGTAACAAAAATGGCAGGCAGGCAGCCTGAAACAAACAAAAGGGCCAAAAGGGCACCGGTTGACAATTGACCAAACAAAGGGAGGACTCTTAAAAAGGAGTCTACTGGCATACAGAATAAATAAATACTAATAGCAAAAATGAAACAAAACCTCACTTTAACAGTGGTACAACTGAATAAAGGAAAGCACAGCTGTAGCTGATCAA